CAAAAATTCCCAAATCAGCTGAAAAATGCCAGTTTCTTGACTTTCATTATTTTGACGAGGGCCTGATTGAACTGATTTCACAACGCTGCCTCAAATTATAGTATAGTGCTATACTGGCTATAGGTATAATTTTATGTGGGGCCCACTGTACCTAACATCGGATACATAATTCAAGAAACGGTATTATAATATACTGTCAAACCCTATTCTGAACCAACCGTGGAGCGAGCATGAGGTTGGCAGTATAGTAGAAGGGCTGGCCGTCAGCCTACAAGTTTTTCATATTATTATTATGCTGACTTCTGTGAGTTAATAATTGGCCGGTGCAACTATAGCTTGTAACAAAAATATTGCCGATGTTTGACGCAGGATATCTCAAAGACTACCCAATCGATCACCTTCATATTTTGAGAAGAGCTTAGTATCTATCTCATCAACTGGGAAATGCAATCAATTTTCCGAAATTGTGGCTGGTTAATTAATTACGATGTATCATTACTAATTCAATATAAGTTTTACAGTAATCACGTGCAGAAAGTTGGACAAATTGCTAGTTTCTCGGATGTTCATAGGCGTCGCCAGTTCTGAACAAATTTCCTAACCATTATCTGAAGCGACATTGATGGTTACACAGACTAATTCAATACAAGTTTTACTGTAATCATGTGCTGAAAGTTGGACAAATTGTAAACCTCCTCAAATTTTTTAGATGAACCAACACATCCGGCAACAATTTTGTTACAAGCTATAGCGTCAAGCAACTCGCCCGATCTAGGGCTAGTTGACCGAATTCGGTCGAGTAGCCTGACGCCAGTGGCGTCGCGAGGGTTACAGACAAGGTGGTGCATAATTGGAAAGTGAGCAAACGGTGTGCAATTAGCTTAGTAGCTACTATTTAGATTTCTAGAGAAAGTCAATTTGAATCTGCACGATATCCCGTAATCTACATCTATCGATATTTACAACTGTTTCTAGTTGAAACAGCATAAAAGCTGCAAAAAAGGGAAACAATACTAACAACTCACTATGCTCACCATCTGAGAAGATTTAAAGATTTCTAATTAGATCTACTTCGTGCAGCACCAGGACTTGCTACACAATAGAGGGAGACAACAGTTTCGATACCCATTCTTCAAGCTATTGAAAGCACCTAGCACACCTCTGTGATTGGCCCAAAATAGATAATTTTGGATTGGAAGTGTCTACGTTCTCTAACGTTAGAGAATGTATACAAGCTGTCTGCGTTCTCTAACGAATAAAAAAATAAAGATTGAAAAGTAGTCAAGCCTTATCCGGAAGTTCAAATAGGGCCCTACAGGCTTAATATTGTTGCTTTTTTATTCGTTAGAGAACGTAGACAGCTTGTACACGTTGTCTAACGTTAGAGAACGTAGACAGCTTGTACACGTTGTCTAACGTTAGAGAACGTAGACACTAATTTATATTTTTCCGCCATCTATTTTTGTCGTCTTCCGAGGTTTCCCTCGCGAGTTGACTACATTGTTGTAGATCTCCTAGATCTATAACCCTTTATTAATTATTTAATTATTATCATTCATCGGAGTGTCGGAGACAAAGTTACTAACAATAGAAATGCAGTGCAATGGTGTTATTAAAGATTGTCTAACTAAACTCGCCCAAAAAAGTCAAGGAACAGCTTGTGTTTTCACCTGTCAAATTCAAACTTCAATATCTCACAAACCCGTTATGATCAGTCAACCAAACTTGGCACACGCACTGACGACTAGACACAGTTTGCCTGTACGGCAAATTTGCCAGCACCAGCTTCATAGCGACGGCGCAGGGCATTCTGAAACGCAGCCGAAAAGCATGAAAAATGGGCTAAATTTCTCTGAAACCGCAACATTGGCATAGGGACTGTTAGCTAAAACTAAGCTTGGCATGTGCTAAACAGATGTCTTAGCTGTGAATATTGCTCACTTACAACCCTTATAAGCCGGCGTTTTTCCTGCCATGTTTCATTACAACAGGATGGTCCAACAACACTCGCTGCCTGACGTCGACAGAGGACGAGCCCTTACCAGGCTCCAAGATGGCTCCACGTTCCCAGTTGTTGCACATGGATTTGGGGTGTCTCCATCAGTCATATAGAGGCTGCAAAAATGATGGCGAGCGACCGGAAGGGTCCTGGACAGGCCTCGACCAGGACCGCCCCGTTTGACCAACAACAGCGTCGACCGGTTCATCGTCAAACAGGCCGTGACGTCACGAACCACCTCTGCAAACTGCATCAGGGACCAACTGCGGATGACAGACAATGTCCACGAGAGCGAGGAGACGGTAAGGAATCGTATCCGTAGAGTCAGGTTAGCTTCTCGTGTCCCTGCCAGGCGCCCAAGGCACACGCCGCCCAAAAAAGCAGCTCGCCCGGCGTGGCCTACTCGCCAATAACAGTGGACACATTGTCAGTGGGACCAGGTAGTCTTCTCTGACGAATCCAGATTCAACCTGTTGCACCCAGACAGGCGAGCCCACTTCTGGAGGCGCCGAGGGGAGCTGTTCCACCCTGAGTGCATCCAGCAGGTGGCGCTCTACTTTGCAGGGTCCGTTCTGGTGTAGGGAGGCCTCTCAGCTCATCACAGGACCCCGTGTACCACATACAGGGTAATTTGACCGTGGCAAGGTACAGGGAGGAAATCCTGCGTCCCCTTGCTGTTCCTCTCCTGAAGCAGATTGGACCCCAGGCTGTACTGCAGGATGACAACACCACGCCATATCGTGCACGCATCGTGGGGGACTTCCCACTGCAGCGAACTGTCACCTGCATGGACTGACCTGCTTGTAGTCTGGATTTGAACCCAACAGAGAACATTTGGGATCACATTGACCGGTGGATAAGGGACAACCATCCTCCTGCACAAAACCTTCAACAACTCTTGGGCTAACTCGTCCAGAAGTGGCAGAACCTACCGCAACAAGTTCTCCGAAGGCATGTCCTGTCCATGCTTCGACGCTGTGCCGAGTGTTTGATCAAACGGAGTGGCTACATCCACTATTGACAATGTTCATGAAGAACTTTGGCTGTTCAGACTTTTGAAATCAGACCAGTGTGACTTAAACTCATTTGACATGAACTTCTCGTTGTTGTTGAAATCTGAAATTGTTCACACTTAATCTAGAGACTCGAAAGCATCTTTTGTGAAAAAATGAATAAATTCGGTTAAACTGTTCTTCAGTAATCTTTCTTTGAATTTTTGTTCCTTGACTTTTTTGTGCGAGTTTACTACCAAGATGTTTCGATTGCCCTATCTTGCGTTTCAACGAGACTTGGGCGCTAGATCTACCTTGTCTTCTTAGCGCGTGACGGCACGTGATGTGAGTGTAAACAAACGATCCCCGCGCTGAGTTGAAAGCGATAAATTTTGTCTTCAGGCAGAGAGAGAGAGGAGGGGGGGAGGGGAGAAAGAAAGAGAGAGAGAGTGAGAACGAAAATGAGAGAGAGAGAGAGAGAGAGAGAGAGAGAGAGAGGGGGCCTTGTTGTTGTTAGAATTATTGATTCCTGTCGTTTTCTCTGTGCCGGTTCACAGGCTGACCCGGTGCAATACAGTCATTATTGTACACATTATGGCCAGTCCCATCTTCATACATGACATGTGTTATAATACATGTACATGTAATTGTAATGTCAATTTGGTCAGATATTGCAGTCAGAGTCAAACTTTCACGTTAGAACCATTCCGACTCTTGAGTTAGGGGACAAGGAGTGACCGAGTGAGTGACTGAATCTTGCGCGATTGATCACGCGAATTTCGAAGGAGCATGCGCAGAAATCCCCAAGGGCCAGAAGCCGCAGGCAAGGCGGGGCTAATCGACGGAATTCGTTCAGAAATGTGGAGAAATCCTAGATCGGGGGAGTAGCCACTCTGTTAATAATTCTACAGTAACAATGACTAGATGATGGAGAATATTATGAGTAGTTTTCCCTTTGTTTTCATCTTCTTCTATCCCCCTCAAAGAAATTAAAATTAATGTAAGGGTATCGAAAAATGAGTTGGCCTTCAGGCTTCCTCCTTTCTTGCATCATGTAACGATCCTGTCACGGTATTTTTTTCCCTCTAACGTAAATAAATCGTGTTATTGGAAGGCTTATCTCTCCAGCTAGCAGCCTTTAAATCAACAACAAGAGCTAGCTCGCAGTCCGCAGTTGTGTGTGTGTGAAAGTGAAAGGGAAATCATCACTGTGCAGCTGCTGAGTCGTACACTGAGTGGGTGCCATGCTCTGCGTGTACCTCTGGCAGCCAGTTCCCTGGTTGAGTTGTGTTACTGGACAATAAATTTACATTATTTCAGCACGGACCATACACACACGCTCATATGACCTTATGCCTTTTGTTTTAGTTAGAGTTTTATGACACTTGCAACAGAATAAGGTCATATAAGTGCCGAAGACTAGAGGTTTTACAAGAGAGTAACAAACAAACCACACCAGAGCACCTGCCAACCAACCACTGACCTTATGCAGTTGCCAGCAGAGTGAAACATTTTTACACACACACACACACAAAAGGACCAAACAACTCAGGCAGTTGGCACAGGGCAGTCTAAAATGGCAAATAATTCTTGCACACACATTGGGAAAGCAATTCATTCATAGCGAAAAGAATTGGCGTAGGTGAGGAAGATTAATTAAAAACAACCATTAATTTTTTTTTACCATACCAAGTAGCTGTGATGAAAAGAGAGAGAGAGAGAGAGAGAGAGAGAGAGAGAGAATGAGAGAGAGAGGGAGGGAGGGAGGGAGGGAGGGAGGGAGGGAGGGAGAGAGAGAGAGAGAGAGAGAGAGAGAGAGAGAGAGAGAGAGAGAGAGAGAGAGAGAGAGAGAGAGAGAGAGAAGGGGAGTTTTCAAAAACTTTTTTCGTTTCTTTTCAAGTGCTGGTGAAAGCTGGCATTAAGCAAGGGCAGAAGGATAACAGGGTTTGTCTGTACTACTATATACCACACAAGCACACAATAAGAAAAAAAATCCAAAACAAAACAAATGCCATTTTTTCCCCCTAGTATTTATTATCTTATATATACAACTGTACAATGGCTGAGGGAGGCATAGCACTATTTTACTCCCCAGATCTCTTCAAACGCGTTGCACACCTTGGCGCAGGTGATGGCAGCAGACAGAGGGTAGTTACTGATGGAGTAGGAATGCTCTGTGTAGTCCGGTGACACCTGGAGAGGGAAGAAAACAGCAGAGTGAGACCGTGGGTGAATGGGTAGGGAAACATCGAGGACGACTACATTATGTCTTCTTAGAAAAAAAAAGAAGTAAAAAGCAAACCTATATTATATAATTTCCTACAAAAATCGCATTCAAATTTAAACTCACATTCAAATTATATAGTTGGGCAAGGACAGCTCAAACACCTTGAGGATTGACAATGCGCTTGACACATCCATAATTTAGGTTATCCAATAAGACACATCCATAATTTAGGTTATCCAATAAGACACATCCATAATTTAGGTTATCCAATAAGACACATCCATAATTTAGGTTATCCAATAACGAAAAATTAAAGAGACATCTGTTGGGGAATGGCAAATTGCACGAGCTGTCAGTGATTTCGAGTTTTCAGTGTTTCTCTGTGTCACTGTATATGCATACACCTTAACCCCTTGGTTGCTGGCTGGGGGGGGGGGGGGGTCAGCACTGATTTTCAGCAAAGCTAAGCTTGTTAGCCACAACAGCAGTCTCATATCTAAATCTAAGTGTCGGAGTCGCTGTCTAGATCTGACCCACTCATGTCTGCAAGTTTCCAAGAGTGTCACTTTACTCCGTCCCCATATTACCCACAATTAAATTAAAGTAAGTAGTAAAGTGCAAATCTAAGTTAAAAAGTGAAATTTGCTGCCTCTTAAAAGTAATTTTGGTGTTTATGTTTTGAGACAGTATGCGTTCGTCTGCACTTGGCCTGTTTTTACCAATCTCTGAAAACCTAGAAGTATATATAACTTGCCTATTTCGCGGCCAGGCCCAAGGTGCGGCCGATTCACATAACTGCACACCCGCTGACTTTATTCATTCGAAATTGGCAGAGTGGTTTCCCTTGGTTCAACAACACGTGCATTGCATTTTGCCGGCACGTCTCTCCAGTAACAGCGAACCATTACAACAGGTCAAAGTTGACATGTCAGGAAACATCGTCTTTTGAAAATGTCAGGCGGGTTGAATTTTTCATTTTCTTTCTTATATGAATAAGTTTACCTGTATTTTGGTATGTATAAGTTTTAAAATACTTGGTAATGAAAGTGGTAGGAAGCAAAAGTCGGTTTAAAGGCAAACTGAAGAGAAATGGGGGTGGCCACATGCAAACCATGCTATATTTCGAGTTGGGCAAGATGCCGCCAGTCTGGCCGCAACAAGGACAGTAAGTTTGTTTTTTTTTGGTTATTGCCTGCATGCGGCCGATAGGTTAACATCATAGGTTTAGACTATGTGAACTCAGGAAAAACTACCACGAGGACATTGAATGACACACAGGTTTCAATCCAATCAAAACGTCTATGTCCAATACAAAAGGAACCACTCACTATCCATTCTATTCCAAAAGGACTTTCTTTGAATAGACGGAAGACTCAGCAACAGCCCTCTCTTAACAAGACATTTTGATTGAAAAAGAATCATTGCAAAAAGAGGAAGAAGAAAGAAAAATTGAAAGGAATGCGGAAACTGAGAAAAAGAAGATCGAGAAGAAGAGAAGCGTATGAAAGAATCGAGAGAGAGAGAAAAAGAGATAGGAGTTTTTAAAAAACAGAAAAAAGAGGAGTTGGAAAAAAAACCCGGAAGGAAGACAGACTTAGTACAAAAGAAGAAAAGAGGATAGAGATGGAGACGAGAAAAGCTTGAAAAGGGAAAGGAAAGGAAAGGAAAAAACAAGAAGAGACTCAAATGTTTCAAGCGACAGTTCAGTAGATCAAAGTGAAATGGTATGGACGATTGGTCAGATGAGGATATTGATGTGCGTATGATAGATGACTTGCTGGATGATACGTTTGAGTGTGAGAAGGAGTTGAGAGCACTGGAAGATGGAGAGCGGGTGAAGGAAGACAATGTAGAGAATGAAATGGTAGATCTGCCTCGATGTATGGAAAGAGAGGTAGAAATCTACCAGTAGTTTACACATTACACCTAGATTTTCTACATCTGATCAATCTGAACCTCCCCAAACTCTTGCTACGTTTTCATCAAAATCTGAGCCATCTGATTTGTCACATGCTTGTTTTTGCCCAAATCCATCGTTATTTCCGTTTTCGAACTCAATTGTATCGCTTTTCAAGTTGGGACACTTTCGAAGTGTCGGTAGCGCGATCGCACTTCGATCAGCTTTAATACTAAAACTACTAGCCCGAAAAAATTCATTTCGGTATCAAACGAAAGAAGAAACTTTTTGCTATGACTATGCAAATCAAAATCTCGGCCCCAGAGTCTCTTCAAGGCGAATTCCCGGGCGATCGCGGATGAGTTAGGGTGTAATGTGTTAACTTTGGTCCTGCGGGGTCCGCCGGAAGAGTGTTCTTATCGATTGATGACCCACTTAAGTCGCCTGTGAGCTTGTGCCGTGGGGCATCGGGGTCAGATAGGAATCAGGCAAGCGTGCCTTGGTAGTCAGTAGTGAAAGAACAATGAAAAACACACCTAATCTTTTATAGCTAATTGATGCGATCTACAAATAGGTGTTACGACCGCATCCCCTCGTGGGTTGATCAGACGCTGAGAGTTGGGTTTGTCTTGTGTGTTTGTACATTTATTACATGTGGCCGCACCTATGGCTTACCGACAGCCTCATCTTGACCGGGTGACCACACCAAGCCGACTTTTCACTGATTGTATGTTAGTCATTTTTGCCATAAAACAACAGCAAAGGCTTCGTGGAACTGGTATGCCCATTTCTTAAAAAATCCAAGCTGTGTTTGAGGCTAAATCTCTGTACAGAATAATTACAGCCAGATGATTAATGGCACCTTCATGTAACGTCATAGGCAACCAGGAAGAGCAAATTTGCTGACTTTCGCTACGTCCATGGTACGGCATAAAGCTAAAAATTACACATTTCCGCGCAGTACAAAGTACTTCATAAGGCAACGAAAAGGTTAAGGAGTCTTGAGTCATAGAACTTTCAAGGAAGGATATTGAAAAATTAATTCTTTGTAATTCAAATGTTTTCAGCGACTATAACTGAATTTGGTTTTTTTAATTCAAAAGGCTATCTTCCTTAACCGAGCCTGCCTATTTCAGCTAACAATGATCAAGAGCATAACCATTACATTACAGATGTGGGCAATAAGGAATAAAACTGCAACCAAAAATTTTTTTAAGCATTGGAACAAATCAATAGCAATGACAAAATCTTACACTGCCATGAGCCATGGCTCCGATGACAAAGACTGCGGGTCCATCTTTGGGTACAAAGTCTCTAACGTCAATTATTTCTTCTGAACTATATGACATGGCGTACTTGGGGCATCCAGTAGGGAGGTGGCTAATCACAGGATTTTTGATGACCTGTGAAACATCGGATGGGAGGATTAGTTAGAAAAGAATTATTACATAAGAATGAAATAGTTGATAATTACGTAGACTTAAATTTCATCTCTCCATTCATCTGTTTGTACACAGTGAAGCCCACTTAAGATGAAAGCAGAACATATAAAAACTTGCATTTTTCTAACTTGATCAATTCTCCTCAAAACGTTATCTCTTGGACTAACTAACAGTCACAAGGAACCAAAAAAAAAAAAAAGAAAGAAAGAGAAACATGACAAAAAAGGGTTTTGAAAGGTTTCTTAAAAAATGACACTTAGTGAGCAAAACAATTCTTAACTCTTTCCGGACGCATCACTGATATATCAGCGCGAGTTCACCCCCCTTGCGGACGTATCGGCGATATATCGGCTATGATAGGGTGCCTCAGTTTTGTTTTGTTTTAACATGATCCATTATTTATAAGTACTTTTTATTGTTATTGAAAACTTACAAAGGGTGTAGGAAACGAAAACATCTAGTTTCACTTTGTCAAAGTGTCGGTCTGGCGAAAAACGAGTGAACTAGTTCTTGCTGTCTTGCATCAACAAAACAATCTAAATCTAACCGGACTCAGTATAAACATCATAACTCAAACAAAAATTGGAATATTGCATTCAAATAAAAAGCTGCACATTCAGAAATTTAAGCAATCTGCTCATAGCCTGTATATGATAAGATAGCAATGCTGATTCGCTTTCACATGTTTAGTGTGTGTAATTTTTTTTGTCAAAATGTATTTTTCTCACCACCATCGCCATTTCAAACCCTTGTAATGCATACTTATGTTCAAAATTAATCCTTGTTTCATGTTGGAATGTATTCCTCATTCAATTTCCTTCAATTTGATACATCATACATTACGTTTTAAGTGATGGTTATGTTTATATGAAGTTATTTTGTACATCACCTCTGTATAACCGAATTGAGTCACAAGTTAATTACGTCTAGACCCAAAAACAACTACGTCCGGAAAGAGTTAATCTCTGTAATAACAAAAGAAAACATGTATACTGGACTTACTTTGAGCAATTTTTGGGGTCCATCACTTGCCCGAATGCTCAGTTTGTCTAAGAGCTGAACTGAAAACAAAATGAAAGTAGACTTTAAATATAATTTGCGTTCAAAAGAGAATTGATAAAATTACATCAAAATGTCATGACAAAACAGGGATCAAAAAGCAGCCTGTCTTAAATTTATCTCATGGAAATATATTCATCCTCATCAGATGTTTACAACTTATAAGCAGTGTCAGTGGATAGTGAAGGGCTCACAGGCTTGAGGCCCCCCCCCCCCTCCCTCCCCAACTCTATCCCTAGGTAAATGAAAATAACTAAATAAGCAGTTGAGACCGTTATGATCGCACGCAATGAACACAGAGAGTAACCAATTTGGCGGCTAGCTCGTTTATCCAATCACTGTTGTCACCGCTTACATCTGTAGTAACCTAATAGCCAATCAAATGTCTTTAGGGCTCAGAAAAGACAAGCTCGTTCCCACGCTCTCTCCATAATGAAACTCTTCTTGTAAAAAGGTAAGACTTCAAAAAAATACTTCTGCTAAGTTAGCCCTGAAAATGGGGTGAAAGTTTACAAGACACTTTCCCCCAGTGACAGTTACCTATGCGTTCATTGGACCTTTGTTGAGCACTGTACTTTCCGTGACTAAACGGCCTAATCCAGCTAATGGACAGTATATGTTTGGAGTGCTTTGTGTGTGTGCTGCTGATATTTAACAGTTATTAATTACATCAAACCACTTTTGAGGCAACTTTTTCATTAGATGAAAATTAATTAGAGAAATTTGGAGGCAAAATGGCTTCGTCTCCACCATCCAGAAGAATGATGGAAGATAAAGACGACTTGCCTCGTTTGAATGCTTCTAAAAATGCAGTGGCTCGCCATGAGTATAGAAAAATTATCACCGTTTTGTTCTTATTGCTTGCCATTTAGTGGTAAAGAAGTGGAAGCAACCTAAGCCCCACCCAAATTTGGGTCCACCCACCGCCACTGCTTATAAGACTAGTCAGACACTTCAATCAGAAACCCCACAGAAACACATTAATTCAAAATATCACTACAGTACTTTGGGAAAGAAATCTCTGTTGCCCTTAAAATTTTTAGTAAAGTTAGACCTGATGTCATAAATTTTCGTTGTTGAAGGAGAAACCTTCTATAAGATGTAAAATATGCCAATTTGAGGCAGAGCATTTGGTTCATAGACAGAGCATTCAAGTGGAAAAAAATATTCCAGGAAGAACGAGAATGACCTGAACTACTTTCCTATACAAAAATTCAAATATATGTGAGGCATCGTAGTGAACTCGGGCGCTCGTAAAAATAATTAAATTCGAAAAAGCTGTATTTTTCATTTTGGAAATTTTTTGAATTTTTGTTTTTTGGCTCAACACCTTGTATTTCCATGCAAAAACACTTTTATGTATGAATTTTTATGGAAAAACGACGATTAAAGGCACAAATATGTAAATTTGCAGTTTCCAAGGACTCTTAAGCTACGGAAGTCACCAAACTATGGTGGCCATTTTCTCGCTAATTTTACTTCTGATACCAGGCGACTCCACCTCCTTCAATCTCAAGTATCTCGACTTCCATTCAAGATAAATGGATATTTTTTTCATCAAAAGCAAGGCAAATGAACAACCTTTATGATGGTACCAATAACTCCACATGCCCAAAAATTGACGAGCGCCTGTTTCCACTGCGTCATGACACATATGCTTATTTGGTTCATGACCAGCAGCGCAATACATCCGTAAACCGATAACTACCTCTATCATCAGGCATAACGCGACCTCAGTGCTTTCTTGTCTTATCTCCATTTTTTTTAAATGTCGAAAGTGTGACTTCTTCTTACACTCACTCTTTGGTTATGAACTGTTTTCACTGTTTAAAAAAAAATGGAGATACGAAAAGAAAGAACTGAAGTCGCGATAAGTTGGTATAGTGAAACTCGCTTATAAACAAAATCCAAGGGCCTGACCTCCAAGTTTGTTGTCGTAGTAAAGTGAGGAACAGCAAGGCTTGTGTTTTAACAGGGTTCCTCTCTTAATATAGCCCCAACTACCCAACGTTAAAGGAAGTGATTCTGTTGTGTGATCTGTGTGTGTGTGTGCAAGTGTATCTATAAATTTAAACCTCACTGAACTTAATGTAAATTCACATTGAGAATTTCCTGCAGATCAGGGGCTACGCTATATGTTATCAAGGTCACTGTGGACGTAGCTTTTTTCTTTTTTACCCTATGAGCAGTAGTCATTAATCCGTTTAAGACCTATTACGTAGATTTGAGTACGCGTCCTCACAAAAAAAAAAGCCTCACAGGCACCCGTCAGCCTTGTGGTTATCACGCTGATATCTGGCGATGCCAGATATTTTGCAGGCAGGCTGAGGTGGCGTGGGTGAGAGATTACCAAGCAGCTAATGAATGCGAACCGCGCACAAGGTGTAGAGTGTACTTTGGTGGCCAGTTCGCTGGCAGTCATCATCATCATCATCCGGTGCCTTGTCGACTGGCGTGGGTGATCATGGACCTCCATTTCACTCTGTCTTGCATTGCAGCAATGGTGTCTGTTGTTCTTGCTGCTCCTAGGCATGTGTTGATTTGTTATCCAGTACCTTTTCCCTCTGTCTGTCTCTGCCTCTCTTTCCATCAAACTTGCCTGATGTTACAATATTCTCCAATGGTTCTTTCTGCATTGTGTGTCCGAAGAAATTTGCCTGTCGCTTTCTTATATTCGTCATAAGCTGTCTTCTACAATTTGCTTCAATCAAGACTTCTCCATTTGTTTTTCTAGCTGTCCATGGGATACGTAGCATGCATCTTATGAACCACAACTCTGTTACCACAATTGTTCTTTCCCGCTGTTTATTGATTGTCCATGCTTCGCACCCGTATAATAGGATTGGTTCGATGTAACAGTATGGTGGGGCAAATTTACATTAGTTTAATAAGGACCATACAACTCGGACAGTTGGCAGACAGCGGTGTGAAGGCGCAAACACAATGTTTATATAGGCGTTCCTTTTCGTACATTGGCAATACCTGAGAGTAAGAGGGCTGGTGGTATAACAGGGTGCAGTATAATGAGGATAGACTGTAAGATATATAAAATTTTTATTGTTAATTTCATGAATATTTAATACAAAAGTCGCCCACAATGAGAAAACGAGGCAGAAATACACAATTACCCATCAAGCCACAGAATCTGTCAAAAGTTCGAGGTATTCTTGTTTGAGGGTTGACTTCAATAAGAACATTCCTCTCTGTCCTGACGTACACCTGTGACAAAAAAAAGGAACATATAAAATACATCAACATTTCAAATATTGCACAAATAGAGCAATTTAAATTACGAAATATAAATTATGTTATGTGTTTAGGAAAAAATCACCATGAGCAAGAAACAATGCATTGAGTTAGTTTAAAACAATTTTTTTTTCTCAAAAAAAAAAAAAAAAAAGAATCCTCAAAGTGGAGTAGACAAATGCTGAAATTCCCATATTCAATAAAAATTGCCCTTAACCCATTGACTGGTAACCATTTATGCACCCCATATTCTGAGGAAAATTCTTCTGTGCACAAGACGCTACAGGTCCCAGTCTTTAATCGACTATTGTTCACTTATATCATAAGAGACATCAATAAAATTTATACCAATAGAAAGATAAATTTTGAGATGAATTGATCCATTGACAAGACCTGCACAGAACAAGCCATAACGATGTAAACAACTTGAAAGAACTAAGACTGAACAAGCACTCTGATTCTACACGTTGGCTGTCTCCCATGATGAGTGTGAGAAAGACTATACATATCACTTTGTTTATATTGGTAAAAAAGCTTGTGCTTCTCACCAAGCAATGTATAAGTAGAAAGACAAATGAAGAAATGGCTGTATCCATAGCCAAGATTTGGACAGAACAAGCTATAACGATGTAAACCAGTGTAAAGAACTGAGACAAGCGTTCTGAGTCGACGTGTTGGGTCAGACCGCCTTGCACGATGTGTGAAAGAAAAACAACACACCTCGCTTTGTTTTCGTGTTGTAGTACCTGCCTATTCTGCCACAAAGTCTATAATAGATAAGACCTCATAGCTAAAACTATAAAAGCTTTCAAGGGATGCCATTCTCTTTACCGGTAATCAAAACTTAGTAGAAGCTGGTCAACGAAACAATATATGTGTTTGAGCCACCGTAAGAATGAGACACATTTACACAGTATAGGGCGCGGATTATTGGTCCATATGAGATACGACTACACAACAGTGAAGGGGTTAACCCTTTATTGTAAGAACACATGTATTTATCTAACAATGAACAGAAAAGTCTTGCCCTAACTTCATTATAATACGATATGTGCACTCCACTGTGTAGCAACAGGGTATGGATGAGGAGAAAAAAATAAATAAAACAGTTTTTATGTCAACACTGATATCTCCCATCACCTGCAAGAGGCCTGCTCTGTTGAGGGGAGAATCCATCAACATCAATAGGCACTGATGGGTGATATCGGGTCTGCAGGTGGAAACATTTTTCTTGACTCTTGCACCAATGTTACTGTGTCGGTCACAAGACAGCAGCTCATACTTCTGGCCAACCTGTGGGCAGAGGAAGAGTTACTTAGACTTAGGTGAAGGTAACAGCTAGTTGATCTTGGCTAATCCGCGAGATGCAAGATGTAATAGAAATGACAAAAACAGAGAGAAAGATGAAAAAGTAGCCACTTGTGCTTAGTTCATATAATGTTTTTTGTTCGTTCATTATTTTCGACTGCCTCATTCTATCAGCTTTCAGAAAAGAGTTTATCTTTTATCATCCCTGTTGAGTTATTCTGTACATTACGGACAGCTCAAATTTGTCGGGACCGGCCTCGCTAGTTCGAGGGATCCGTAGTTCAAGGAATATCTTACATGATAAAAGAAGGAACCCCCCCCCCCCCCCCCCCAAAATGGGACTGCAAGCACAGTTCGACAGATGCATGATTTTAAGTCTTCTGTGTTCGACCTATCCATATAATATTGTAAATGGTCATTTTATAGTAGCAGGAAAAAATCTTGGCCTATACCAGTATACCACTGTCACACAAGCATTTTACACACAACTGGCTGTGGCAGCGGCACAGGTCACATCTCATAAGAATAAGATGGTGCGCGCTTCAAGACTGAAGTAAGATTATTACAGTGGAACTCGGATTCAATGAAAGGAGTTGGATTGCCCGTTTTCTTTAAATTCATAAAAATCAATAAAACAACTCGGATTCAAAGAACACATATGAGCAAGCTCGGAATCAACGAAGTAGCTGCAGGGTGAACAGGCCCCACCGATGTGGCTTTGCTCATTTTTCTTCTTCAACAAATCTTATCTATTCCTAGAAACCATCCATGGCACCTGCATCCTGAACCATTATTCGCTTATCCTATTGTTTATATGCAACCAATCAGCAGCCTTCTTTCATACCAACATACAAGTTGTTAGAACTATTAGTTCACGCACACATGCCTTAGTATATGTCACACGTGTGTAGGCCGCCCATCCGACCCCGACACACGCTACCATCTTTAATTGCTTCTGATGACCTCTTGACAAATAAACATTTATTAAAAGCGCTTTAACTTTTCAGGCCGGCCTCAAATTCATCATAAGATAAAAACTCGGCTCCGGCACAATTTAACGCCATTTTGCCCAAAGTGGTCCCGGTCTCTCCCCATCCTGAGGCGAGTCACGAGTGAGGCAGGACAGGAAGCCGGAGTCACGAGTCACTGGAAGTCGAAAGTGATGTCATGCTGGGCAAGAATCAGAGTCCGAATAACATTTTTTCATATTCGGACTCGAGTCCGAAGAGTCATTCCATGCGGTAGGCCTACCTGAACGGCCTTCTTAAAATAGTCTATGGGTATCCTACGAAGTGATGACATCACATTAACTAAAATTAGCGGCCAATCAGGAAGATGCCTCATTCTAAGTTTAGCAGGAACAGCATGTGGGCCAGACACAAACCTATTGACAATGGCCACCTCTATTCTCACCCCGGGTGAGAATAGCGCAGGCGAGTCTTTTGGCTATTCTCACCCGGTGGGCGTTCACCGTTATAGCCTAGGCCAGCCAGTGAAGCATTCGCCCTGAACCACAAAATTCTACACTGTGATAACAGAATTATAGAATTCTGTGCTGTGAACAAACGTTCTAGATCAATTACTACTGTTAGTGTTAGCCTAAAAGCGTGCAATTTTGTCTGTAGGCAGTGGAGAGAGAGAAAGAGATAGAGAGAGAGAGAGAGGAGTAGCGCGAGAACTTCCGGGCAAAACAAAATGGCGACCCGCGTAGTTCGGCTCGATTCGGAAAGTAAAATAGCCGTAGCACCTTTGTAGACAACCAAATTAATTTAGTTTTGTTTTTTAACATCATTTTTTAACTTTGTGTCAGTCAATTTGATCGTCCACACCGATAGACAGTATTCAGAAAGAGACAGAAGGAGAAAAAGGAGAGAGAGAGGGGAGGAGTAGATCTTGCGAGAACTTCCGGGCAAAACAAAACGGCGACCCGCGTAGTTCGGCTCGATTCGAAAAGTGAAATAGCCATAGCATCTTTGAAGACAATCAAATTAGCTTACTTTTGAGCTATAAACGTAATTTTTTCTTGGCTTTTATCAATGGAAGTGGTTATTCGCACCGGGTGTGCGCATAAGAATTAATATTATTCGCACTGGGTGTGCGCATAAGAATTAATATTATTCGCACCGGGTGTGCGAATAAGAAATAATTATATTCGCACAGGGTCGACCCAGGTTGTCCTGGGAAAGATGACAAGAGGGGTGGGGTCATTTGTGAACACGCAGTCCCTAAAAGTAAAACTGAAATCATTCGGCCATAAATAATATGATGTATTACTACAGGAGAGTTACTACATAAAGTTGATTTTGGACCTCATTTGTCACACCTAGATATCCCACCTTTAGTTTTAGGCTAAGGTTTTTAATTTTGGAAAGCACTGGGAATAGGCCAGAATTGTTCCCAGTGTCACTGGGATGAGGCCAAGAAACTATTCCCAGTGACACTGAGAACAGACAGGCCCATTAGATGTCTAGATCTATTGTTCCCACTATGATCTACATGGGCATGATGATGATGGGTTACTAAATACAGACTATACACATGTATTTTTCTTTATCTAATGTAGATCTAGATATTAAGAGTAGATTCTGGTGTGAGTGGAAGAATTTTTTTTTAAAGAAAGGAATGGTCATTCTATGCTTGCTTGTTATTCATCATGTATATTAGATCTAGATCTAATACGGAATATGGAGACCACGGTACAGGACAGGTAAAAATCCTTCCCGATTCTCCATTTCTCCTAGAATCTAGGCTACAGTCAAGTCTTGGCCCAAGTAAGCGAAGAGAAGAAAATCCAGCCCCTATGATCTTTGTCCTTTCGCAATGAGGGGGAAAAATGAGGAAATGGTAGGCCCGATTTCCATCCTTCTGTTGAAACACCCTGTGCGAATATAACTTCATAGTATTCGCACACCCTGTGCGAATAAAATTTCATAGTATTCGCACACCCTGTGCGAATATAACTTCATAGTATTCGCACACCCTGTGCGAATAAAATTTCATAGTATTCACACACCCTGTGCGAATAACTACAGCCTTTATCAATTCGATCATCCACACCGATAGACAGTATTCCAAAATGAGGAAAAACAGGTCTTGTTTCATACCGGGTGAGAATAGCCTACGCTGGCAATCTCACCCGGGGTGAGAGGTAGATCGTATTTTTATTCTCACCCCGGGTGAGAATAGCCACTTCCATTGGCCATTGACAATATTGAAAAGTCGGTGCCTTTTTCGGTAGATCTAGATATCTAGATCTAGATAGTTAGATGAAAGTGGCTATTCTCACCCGCCCGGAAGTTCTCGCAAGATCTACTCCTCCCCTCTTCTCTCTCTCTCTGTCTCTTTCTGAATACTGTTTATCGGTGTGGACGATCAAATTGACCAAAACAAAGTTAAAAAATGATGTTAAAACACAAAAGTAAATTAATTTGGTTGTCTACAAAGATGCTACGGCTATTTAACTTTTCGAATCGAGCCGAACTACGCGGGTCGCCATTTTGTTTTGTTCTCTCTCTCTCTCTCTCTCCACTGCCCACAGACAAAATTGTACGCTTTTAGTAGGCTACAGTTGTAATGGAACGTTTGTTCACAGCACAGAATTCTACAATTTTTCTGTTATCCCAGTGTAGAATTCTGTGGTTTAGGGTGAACGCAAAATTTGTTGGCCTAGATCTAGGCTATAACGGTGAACGCGCACCGGGTGAGAATAGCCAAAAGACTCGCCTGCACTATTCTCACCCCTGGTGAGAATGGGAGTGTATACAGACCCGGTAACCGGGAATAAAGTCACAAAGTATACAGAGCCGGTAGGGGAACTCTTTTGTGATTTCGGAAAGTTTCAGTACCCTCTTGGCTCAGGGTAGAACCACTTAAAGTGTCTTAAGTGTAGAATTCTGTGGGTAGAGTCTCTGGTAGAACTAGGTTCTTCTAGATCTATACAGACAGATATAAATCATTGATCTAGTTTCGAGGCTAGCCTAGATCTAGATAGATCTAAATCTAAATGAAGATTGTGGATGTCTTTTCGTTGAACGATCGTTTTTCACCCATTTTGGAGTTGGAGGAATCACAATTTGAAGAAAAGTACAACATGTCATAATTTCAATCGAGCAGTCACCCTCTCTACTTCTCTCTCTCTCTCTGTGTATCGCTCGCATTCTCTTTTTCTTTGTTTGTCTCTGTCTTTCTTTCTCCCCACCTATTTCCCACTCTATCTTTCTCTCGTTCCCTCCTGCCAACTGGCGAGGCATGTCAAATACATTTTGCTAGTACTCCCCCCTGCTCTCTCTCTCTAACAGTACTAACACACACACTACACACACACACTCACACACACTACCGGGTCTGGGCGCTGAAATTTTTCCGAAACCACAAAAAGAGTTCCCCTACCGGGTCTGTATACTTCGTGACTTTGTTCCCGGTTACCGGGTCTGTATACACTTCGGGTGAGAATAGAGGTGGCCTAGTTAGATAGACTAGATCTAACCCTAGATATCTAGCTAGCTTTAGATCTAGATTCTAGATTATCTAGATCTAGATCTAGAATCTAGATCTAGATCTAGATCTAGATCATCTAGATTCTAGAAGAAAGTCTAGATTCTAGAGTTCCCACCCCCCTTATTTGAGCCTAGACCTGCATCTAGAATCTAGATCTAGACCTATATAGATATCTAGACTAGAATCTAGATCTAGATCTAGATTCTATACGTTTGATGCGCGGCGAGCTAAGATATCAAACCTAACAACTGCAAAACATCAAATTATGGTAAAATTCGGGGCAACAAGCGCCCCTGAAAGTGAAACTACTGAAACCCCGCAACTCTTGGGGCCAAAACTGGCGAATAAGAATTGCGGGGTGGGTACTACCGAAAAAGTGCCGAAAAGTCTATACCTTTACTGTTTCCAGAGAAGCCTTCTCAAGAATAACGATCAACCTTTTTTCGTCTGTGTCTTTAGGAACACTTTTAATTATTTTAGGCTTCGCATCATGTGCATTAGCTACGGGGGCTGCCATGTTGAATTTAGCGTCCAGTCCAGGCCTACGGCATAAAGAAAAAGCCTAGCCTAGTAAAAACAAAAAGTCAGCCATAATATTAATAAGGCCTATGACCTACGCACAGTACCTAGATTACAATGACAAGTATTGTTACATTACACTTGTACAAAAAAACAACAACACAAAAGCGATTCAAGGTCATATATTAAGGGTATGCACAAAAAGAGTTACATTTTATTTGGTATGGTTAACTGTTTAAAAAAAACAGCTAAAATTTGTAAATATTTCGCTTCATCAAAAATACTGAGAGCCTATTGCGGATTGGATACTCGTGGGCTACTTTCTGGGTAATTAGAGCATGCCTGAAAATGTGAAAAATGAAATTTCATTTACTTCTTCAAGCTCAAGGTCTACCTTCTTTCATCAGCTCATAGAAGAGAAGTACAATAGATTCTTAAAAGCCTTTTTTTATACATGATGTAGGCCTAGTTGATAATATAATGTTCTTTTAAAGACTGTGAAAGCCGCATTGGTCTGAATACTAAACCTGGCAGACCAGTACAAAATTTGATGACGTTTATCCCCTTCTTCCGGCACATGCGGCAAATGGAGGTTGTTTCCATACGATAGCGATTTTCATTTTGAAGCCATTATTTATTACGAAATCGTAAAACAAACAGGTAGGTTTCACTGTACAAGGGAAATCTGTTTAGTAGGTTTTTGATGACTCTTGTCTTGTACTTGTTAAACGAAAGCCATAGATTATATGGTGTTCTCTACTTAAGCAGTGGTAGCAACTGCAATCTCTAGTACTCTAGTGATTCTCATTCACCTGCACGATAGCCGTCGTAGCCTACGACCTACGACTTCAGACTTCAGTTGACAGTACTGAGCACCTGGACTTGGATTGCCGGTGCCTCTATCAATAAATTATTGATTGACTTCAGGGGAGGACTTCCGTAACGAGTGACCACTATGAAACAGAGCAGAATTGAGGGCTTGGGGTAGGGTTAGGTGGACATGCGATTAAAAGTAGAAATGATGCAAACTATTTTTAGGTAAGGCAAGGCGCCCATCTTGTTTGACGTCAGACCAGGATACCCCTCCGATCACGTGACTACATCTAAGTATAGACAACCGCATGGCACCAAAGATGGAAGTGTCTATGTATATTATGCTTAATCTACACAAATGTCTCGGAATTTCTGATAGCTGATTTGATAGCGCGTCTGCGTTTGATGTCGAGCAATGACTTTTGGAGCGGTTCGATTCCGGTCCCGGACAGTTTTTGGCGCTTTTTCGGTAGTTCCCACCCCCCTTATTTGATAGAGCCTGACCTACATCTAGATCTATATACGTTTGATTCGCGGCAAGCTAAGATGTCAAACCTAACAACTGCAAAACATTAAATTGTGGTAAAATTCAGGGGGGCATGCCCCCCTGAAACCCCCCACCTTGTTTTTATTAGGTCAGGGGGGCAAGCCCCCCTGAAACCCCCCTACTCTTGGGACCAAAACCGGCGAATAACAAATGCGGGGTGGGAACTACCGAAAAAGCGCCCAGTTTTTTTTTCTCTTTTCCTCCTCCCGACTGACCAACAGTTCCATAAATTATAGGCCTAATTTCAAATTTGTAGAGTTGCTTTGACTTTGAAGTTGTTGTTTATTTTTTTAAAATGTATTAGTGATTAAAAATGCAGGAGGGGGGGGGGGTGGTAGATCTAAATTTAGATATCTAGATCTAGATCTAGATCTAAATTTAGATATCTAGATCTAGATCTAGATCTAGTCCTCCTGCGTCTTTACGGCAATTTTCGTGCGGTCTTCCATCATGTCCAGGTAGGCCTAATAGATCTAATCTAGATCTAGAATCTAGATCTAGATCTAGATCTAGATCTAGAAAATCCGAAATGTTACCGAAAACACATCGTTCCATGTTTGGGTATCCCAGGAAGTGATGACATCACATTACTAAAATAAGCAGCCAATCAGAAAGATGCGTCATTTCTAAGTTTAACGGCATGTGTTAGGTGGCCACCTCTATTCTCACCCCGAGGCGAGTCTTTAGGCTATTCTCACCCGGTGCGCGTTCACCGTTATAGCCTAGATCTAGGCCAACAAATTTTGGCGCTTTTTCGGTAGTTCCCACCCCCCCCTTATTTGATAGAGCCTGACCTACATCTAGAATCTAGATCTATATACGTTTGATTTGCGGCAAGCTAAGATGTCAAACCTAACAACTGCAAAACATTAAATTGTGGTAAAATTCAGGGGGGCATGCCCTGGGAACTACCGAAAAAGCGCCCAAATTTTGCGTTCACCCGAAACCACAGAATTCTACACTGTGATAACAGAAAAATTGTAGAATTCTGTGCCGTGAACAAACGTTCTATTACAACTGTAGCCTACTAAAAGCGTACAATTTTGTCTGTGGGCAGTGGAGAGAGAGAGAGGGGTAGCGCGAGAACTTCCGGTCAAAACAAAATGGCGACCCGCGTAGTTCGGCTCGATTCGAAAAGTTAAATATAGCCGTAGCATCTTTGTAGACAACCAAATTAATTTACTTTTACTATTGTGTTTTAACATCATTTTTTAACTTTGTTTTGGTCAATTTGATCGTCCACACCGATAGACAGTATTCAGAAAGAGAGAGAGAGGGGAGGAGTAGATCTTGCAAGAACTTCCGGGCAAAACAAAATGGCGACACGCGTAGTTCGGCTCGATTCGAAGAGTGAAATAGCCATAGCATCTTTGAAGACGATCAAATTAGCTTACTTTTGTGCTATAACGTAATTTTTTCTTGGCTTTTATCAATTTGATCATCCACATCGATAGAAAGTATTCCGAAATGAGGAAAAACAGGTCTTGTTTCGGTCAATTTTTACTTTCACTCCCGCACACAGATGCACTGTTTCAGGGGTCAAACTGCTGTACTGTTTGCTGCAGATCACACATAAAGCCATTAAAACTGTCGCAAATCAATTATTTTCAAGACAATTTCAAATCTAACTGTAAAATATCAAATTATGGGTGTAAAAACAGGGGGGCATGCCCCCCTGTAACCCCCCAGATTTTCTTTTACCCCAGTGGGGCAGGCATCCCTGGAACCCCCCGATTGGTCCAAAGCATGTCTATCTCGGTTTAAAAACAATCAAATATTTCAAAAACCATTAATTTGCGACGGAAATCAAGTTGATATTCGTGTTCAGCGCATCAATATTTAGTAGAAAATAGACAACTGGTAGCTGAGTGTGAGACGGGAGGGAAAGTAAAAAAATACCCTTGTTTCAAACCGGGTGAGAATAGCCTACGGTCGCAAGTCTCACCCGAGGTGAGAGGTCGATCGTATTTCTATTCTCACCCCGGATGAGAATAGCCACTTCCTAGGAGGGGTAGGTCTAGAGAGTAACAAACATAAAAAAGAAGAAGGGGGGATATTATAAGGATGATAGATGTTTCATAGGAAAGAAGAAACCACACCAGAGCACCCGCCAACCACCCACCCCAACAAAATAAAACACCACAAAGAGGGGAAAATGCAAGAGGAACAGCAATACAAATCGCATGCAACTGTAACGTATTCAACAAATCAACGTGATGAGAACAAGTGAGAAGGAAACGAACTAAGTGAACTTCCTTTCAAAAGTAAAGAGGTTCGGTTTCCTTTTTTTTTTTTTTTTTTTTTAAATTTTAAATTTCACTTTTATTCTCCGATTCGGGGACTTAATAAATGCCCAAAAATTCGAACCACGTTTGTCTACGTGTCGTTATCAATAACGACCTCCACTCCATAGATCTAGATCTAGACAGCACTCGAGTGAACACAACACATTAAGTTTAAGAGCAGCATCCTTATATCTGTAGCGAAAATTAAACTGTTTGAAACTGTAGCATTTCTTTTTACAAATATTTACTGTTGACATTTTTTTTGACCGATTGAACCATATTTGTATACGAACAATCTTTGGTAGGGCTATAATATAATTATAGATATATATATATCTCCGAATTTTGCGTGAAAGGATCTGATTTCAGAGTGTTCGGAGAAATAGTGCCCAGCTTTATTTTCCCGAACGTTCGGAGAAATAGTGCCCAGCTTTACTTTCCCGAGTGTTCGGAGAAATATTGCCGGCCAAGTAATAAAGACATCGAAAAGTGATAGCAGTCTAACTACATTCTGCACTAATAATCACATGAAGAGGCCAAATTTCATTCCTATACTCTAATTCATTACTGACTTATGAACAATTTTTCCTCAAAACACATCAAGACACGTCCCACATTTTGGCGATATTTCCGTGTATGAAGAGGTCCCATTTACTTTTATTTTCATTTAAGCCCATTTTTAAGCAATTTGGATAAAAAATTTTAATTTACATTGTCATTGCTACATTTGAAAGATTTTGTATAGAAAAATGGAAGTCTTGTTTCCTGACTATCCTTTAGAGCTCCTCATGTCTAAGTGGGTCAATTTCTTCTATAATTTCATTGGACGAACATCTAGAGCTACCAACTTTGTGTGATTTGAATGAGGCGCGTATGCTTCGATTACGAACCGAGGCAGGCGGTTCTTGAAAAAGGCCACTCACGCACACAAACTCGAGCAGACTGACGCACACACACACACTTCAGCTGCGTGAATGGGGATCCGACGCGGGACCTTAATTGAACGGGAGATGATGCATGGTGTGCGTGCGCTGAGCGGGGGGCCAGACTGACGCGAGACCAGAGCACAGGCAAGGTCCAGAAATAGGCTTATCGGGCGACATAAAAACCCGGCCCCCGCAGGATGAGGGTAATAAATGACACATAAATTAAAACTTACGCAAGTTTAAAAGGTTAAAAATCAAGCCATACCAATTTTCTCACGTTTACCCGATAGTCAGAATTGGATGCTTGGCAACATGTTTGTTTATGCTCGGACTAAGTTTGTATCTTAGATTGTCAGGATTGTCAACCTTCAAATTTAAATAGAAACTTACTTGTGCTAGATCTACTGAACTGCTTAACTTATATTCGTATGAAGCCAGGTCTAGATTTACAGTACAACGAGCACCTAGATCTCGCACACCTCTGTGATTGGCCCAAATAAAGATGACGTATTTCCGCCATCTATTATTTGTCTTCTTCCGGGGCTTCCCTCGTCATTAAATCTCACCGTGGCGGGCCTGCTTTGCAGTCTTGTCAACAGTTACTGGTGATGGAAGTCCAAGAGTCTTGGGGAGGAACCCGCAAGACGACAAAAATAGATGGCGGAAATACGCCATAGCTATGTTTGGGTCAATCCCAGAGGTGTGGTGGGTGCTCGCTGTAGCTCCAACTTCATGTCTTAGATTCTAGCCTTAATGAGCCGTTGCCAAAACTTGAGACTCAATGGTGCAAAAAAAAAAAATTCTTACCGATTTGACCTCCCTTTCTGTCAGTCACAAATTGACATTTAGTGCTCATATTCCTGAAGTATCATAATCATAGATGGTTTTGGAGATATGGGTCTATTAATTTGGCAACCACTGTATTTCTTGTATGTAACAGTGATGACAAAAACAGATAAACAGTAAGGCAAATTATAGACTTAAAATTCCATTTGTTTAGTAAACAAAGACTTTATACACTATGAACTCCATTCTTAATATTAGTAATATAAATAACAAGCATTTATTGTAACATTGACGCAGTGCACAGAACATGTGATCATTGTTAAAATTACAATTTAAAAGGATACACATTGGACAAAGACAAAGTCATACCTCCAGGGAGAAATGTGCGTTTTAAGAGTTAAAAAAAAAACAAGAGAGGTTTCTTTTGCTTTGAAACAGATATCAGGTAATGTCAAAAACTGGACAATCACGATTGTTATTTATTGTGACAAACAGTACTCGTACCATAACAGTGATGACAAAACATACTGGAAAATGGTAAAATCATGCCTACAAAGAACAAGTGTGCACTATGAGATACACAGATCAATAAAGGCGTATTTCGCTCCTGAATGAATCATGCATGTATGAAATATAAAGTCGAACCTGCCCAGACGGCCACTTTCCTTTTCCCCCCCTTGCGTTTTTTCTATATAATTAACTGTGTAAAACGTGCTCCTGCCCAACGCGGCCGCGGCCACCATATTTTAACACACAACCCCTATCACACTAAGCAATAACACCTGTCTTAGACGGCCACTTTAGTGACTCCATTACGTTTTGTCATAAATTGTGCACTGGCCCCTGGCGTTGTGGGCGAGCTGTCAATTCAATCACCTGTCATTGTTGTTGCGTAGTCCCTCCAACCGACCCTGTTGGGTAGGCCCCTCCCACTGTTGAACAATAGGTACCAATTTTCAGCTGCTGGTGAGGTAATCATATGATTCCTCACAACCCATAAGCCCCGCCCAGAACTCATACACAAATCGTATGTGAGATGAGTGATCACTGTTTACCCAGTCTGTAACAAAGTAACAACGGATATCAACATGAATGCGTCACTTGTCTCCGAGTGGTGGCGACCCATGTGTTTGCTTTAACATGGCACTCGGTCTTCCTCGTCTTATACATTTCGTTTTATTGTCACTGTTGCACAAAATCAGCAACAAAATAAAAATAACAAACAAAATACAAACCAAGAACAACAAAAAACAACAACAATGCGGCTACTTTCGATTGTGGCTTCAGGTGGGAATGGTTTGTTTTCTTCATCTTGATCAGTCCTGCCTTAGACGGCCACCTGTCTTATACGGCCTCTTTTCTCCTTGACAATGGGTGGCCGTCTTACACAGGTTTGACTATATATTGAAAATTTAAAAGCCCCTAAAGCTTTGAAGGAATAAATACTAATGCATCACATTTTATACACACTAATGTGAGATGTGTATGTGTTTTTCCCCATGTTTTGGCAATGGCTCAAATATAGATACCCACACAACTCCCAACGCAAACACATCCACCCTACTTATCAAGGCAAGCCTACACTGTGACCTAGATCTACCCAGCCTAGTCATGAACTGTCATGTTACCAAATTATACAGCTAGAATCCAGATTAAGAATAACTGATGTCATGTAAAATTTCTAAATAAGCCGAGATCTAGAATCTATATAAATCTTATTTTCAGCTAACTTGAACAACACTAACAGTAGCCTACCACTACCAGTAGTACTTTTATCAGTCTGTCCTAGGGGTTCTTCAGGGGCAGAGGAGGTAGGATTGTCTAATGTCTTTCCTAATTCTTTCACCGGCACTCCTCGGGAATTGTGGTCTGTGGTATTAACACAAAGAACCCTTTAAAGTTAAAATAATCAGTAATGTTTCTTATTTGAACATGGCATGCCAGTCTGTCATTGTAAAAAAAAGTGGTTGGTTAGCGGGTGCTCTTGTGCAGTTACCCCCTTCTTTCCTATCAAACATCTATTGTCCTTTTATTTCTCTTCCTTCTTGTCTTTACAAGTATGTTACTCTCTAGTAAAACTTCTAGCCTTTGTTTGGCGTCTATAGTTGTGTTGCAAGTGCTGTAAAAATCTTAAAACTAAAACTTTAAAAGGTGACAAAAGTGAATGGCACTCGTTGTGGAATCTCTATTTGCCCCTTTCTTATGATGCATTTGGTGTGTTTTAGAGCTTCACCTATACAGTCAGCATGTTTTCTTTCTTCTTCAGATCATCATGTCTCGTTTTTTCCGTGCTGGCTCGGAGAGTGAAAGTGAGTCGGAATCAAGTGATGATGGAATTCAAGATGTGCGGCCCACAGCTCCTTCAAGGTATGCACAATGTATTCAGATGGGTGATTGTCTCCCTTTCATGCTGTTCTTGATTAGAAACAAAATTTGTGTCCTGTTTATTGTCACTTTTTGTTGTGTATGAATATAAATAATCTCTCTTTCAAAAGGCAGATTGGTGAGATTTTAATGATGTTGGACTCTTACTTCTTACTTCTGGGACATTTCAGTGACCCACGTTCAGCTCTTTTTAAGGACCCCCGGGGAAATGTTGAGCTCCTGCGTGCTGTCGGCATCATTGATCGCTTATGACAAATCAGCACCAGCAGAGAGAGAGAGTCTTTTACTTCATTAATGAACATTGTTTGTTGATTTTGTGACAATACGTTTTGTAACATGTTAAAACTGATGCCTGACTGTTTGTGTTCACAGGGCTGTTATGCAGTTTAGTGACGATGAGGAAGAAACTAAACGTGTGGTGCGCAGTGAGAAAGACAAAAGGTATGCCTCATAAAATACTTAACTTTTCCAAAACTTGAATTTTATTTACTTGTTTGCTGACTACGTAAAGTAGATGGGCAGCGTTCACTGCTTCAGAAAGTCAGTCTTTTTCGTATATTTTGCTTTGTGCTGAAGTCTGAAATTTAGCATGTTACATGGATAAGTTCATCACTCCCAGATGCGTTGACTAAGGGTTGGCCTTCATGTTGTGTCTTAGGTTATGATTTGTGTTCATTGACAATAGCCCAATAGCCAATATATCATGTGCACAATTTCATACTAGAGCTGGAGTCTGCTCGATTAATCGAAGGTTTGCAAGCAGGCTTGCGCTTTGCTTTGTCTGCCGGGGGGGGGGGGGGGCTTCCGGTGAGTTGTGACTCCTCCCGGACAGCAGACCTGCCACTCATCCCGATTTTTTGCCCCAAATCTCAAGCATCCGGATTTCAGTCGCCAGTGTCCTGACTTTTTGTTGTTGCGTCCGATTCTTAGAGAAATAAAATTCTGCTATCTCTTGCTTGGAAGCACCGCATGGTCTTTTTATCAGCTGGATCTTGAAACCCTATTTTCTAAAACATCAATGCTGGATCTAGTAGTTGACTCACGCATAAAATCGACGTAGTATCGATTTTGAATTACGACTTGGATACGCTCAAGATCTACTTTCGCTTTTGTTACCCACGGGGTTCCCGCGGCCTCCTTGAAAACTCCTTGAATTTGCATTCTCAAGGAAAAGTCTCCTTGAAAACTCCTTGAATTTTGCAAGATCGGACAGAGGGTGACTGCCAGCCTCGGGGCCCCGTGAATTAACGTCAACTGAAAGTCATTGGCCTAGTATATTTACACTCTACTGGAATAGAGCAATAAAGCCTGAGAGGTGCAGAAAATTAGTTTAGATATAGTGATGTATTGATTAATTCTCTATTCCGTTTTCGGGTTTGTGCACTCCAGAATTTCAAAGGTGTGGAAACAGTGAAACTAATGAAAAACTGAAAATTATACTACAGTGACTTCAGGCTCCTCAATAGAACTATGCACCCTTTAAATGATTCTGAACCAACATTAATTTTGTCAAATTCGAAAGTTAAATGATTCCGAAGTTTTATGCGGCCAAAGTGACGAACTTTCTCAAAAATAATATGTGTAGATGATGAGTCTACTTTCACTGGGTCTGAGGTTTTGTTTTCATAGAATGCCACACAGATTTATTTTCTTCTTTCTGTTTCATCTCGACTGTCACTTGCCACTCTTGTTTCTTCCTTTGCTGTTTTCATCCCCTTTTCTGATGGGCTTGTGGAATTGTCGATCCCTTTTGCTTTTGAGTTTTTACCCCTGCTCCATTTATTATTTATGTCCTCTTAATTTTTCAGGTATGATGAGATACGATCTATCATCAAGCTTTTGAAAAATCACATGAAAATCAAAGATATGGCGAATGTCCTAACAGGTAAGATTGACTGATATTGCCTGAAGAAACTGTATTAATGTTGGGGGGGTGTGTGTGTTTAAATTCAATGTGCAATGGAAACTTGCTTTGTTGCTCTTTTTGTTTTATTTTTTTGTGCGTGTCTGCTGTCTGGTATCTCTTTATTCATTCGCTTAACTCTTTTTATCCAGGCTAGGAGTATACTCATAACGAGGACCAGTCAGGGCTACGAGTAAACTTGGAACAGCAGTACGGTCACGTCAAACAGCTAGTTTTGCTTGTAATTACAAAATACTCAAATACAGCGGTGCTAGCTCTGTCTGAATATTTAGATTTTCCAATGAACAGGGGTTTCTTTGTTTTCGATAGGTGTAGAAGCTTGAAAGATGTCTCGAAAACGCACGTTTACGGCCAACGAAGTACTTTTTGAAGTGGCGCTGGGTTGTGAGGGGGGATGAGACTTATTTGATGAAAGTGATTCTGAATCAAGTGCCGTGACTTCTGTTTTGGAGGATGACGGACAGGAATTAGACTAATCTAATAGCGATGCAGATCATGGTGAAGGGACTAGTACTGGAATTCGCGCAGTACAGATTTGTAGAGGTAGATCTAAAAATCCAAGGTGACGTCGTGGGGACGGCAATCAGGGTCAAGTTGGAGGATGAAATCTACCTCAAAATCTACATACTCCAATTGGTGTAATTTCTGACCATATACATTTACCAAAAGTACATTCAATTTCTAACATAACTGCCAAATTTCCTTTAAATCTAAGAGTGAATGTAAGAAATGCACACTGAATTCCAACTCAAATGACGCGGCGGCCCCAGGACGGGTACGGGGTGGGTGGGGGTGCGGCCATGATAAAAAGAGTTAAAGACAGAAGAGATGTTTGTTATTGTGGGAGATGTTTTTAGTTTTTATTATTTTTTAAGTTAATATGCCATTTTTTCTTTTCTTTTAGCAAACACCAACTCAGTTATTTGTAAAAAGTGAAGACACATCGTTTACAATGATGTTCTTTTTTATTCTAAATACTGGAAAATGTTCTTTCCCCACAGACTTTGAGAGCCTTACAAAAGCTTTTGATAAAGCTAAGAAAGTTGTGGAAAAGGAAGGCATGCCAAGGATCTACATCAGGACCATTGCAGAGCTGGAAGATTTTGTTAATGAAGTAAGTGTTGTTTTAAGATCTGTACCCTTTGGTGTTTTAAATATCACACCCAACAGAATGCGAATGAAATTTTTTAAAAACGTTTTTAACTTTAATACCTTTTTGTTTGGTGCCTGAGCAAGAGCGCTGTCTATTCTAAGTATCACTCTCTTTTTTTAAATTAAAAAAAATCAGACCGTAAAGAAAAAATCATTGGGGTTATAAGGGGCGACAAAACAACAGGTACCAATAAATTGAAAATAAACGTTTTAAAAAATTGTACCACCTTGCAAAAAAATGTAAAGTTGTGGTATGTTGAATTTTGTCATAGACTTGTTACTTGAAACCTCACTACTACATGTTTCTTTTGGTGGCAGTGCTGGGAGGATCGTGACTGGAGGAAAAACATCAGCAAGAACAACGCCAAGGGTCTGTCTACAGTCAGGCAGAAGATCAAGAGGTACAATAGGGAGTTTGAAACAGAACTTGCAGCCTACAGAGAGGTGAGTAAAAAAAATTTTTAATTGTTGTAAGAGTCATCAATCGAGGACTGGTTTGGTTTATCTCATCTTGTTTTGTCTTTGTCTTTTCTTTTTTTTTTTTTTACACTGTTGTAAGAGTCGTCCATCAAGGACTTGGAAAGAAGCTTTTGTCTAGCTTGTTTTGGTTTCTACTTTTTGTTAGGTTCTCTGACTCTTGTTTCACTCTTGTCTTGTCATACAGTCAGTGTAATAGCTATTGTATACAAAATGAGTTCTGATGGACTTTTTGCTTCCCAGTTTCCTACATTTGATTTTAACATTTCTGAATAATCTGCCTTCGAGAATGGTGCACAGCTGCACTAGAAGCCGAATCAGCTGCTAGCTTTATTTTTTGTAGTGTTGTTTTTTACCTTGTCGATAATATAAATGGTGCTCTGTTTCAGGTTTTTGGTTGTTGTTTGTTGGGGGGGGGGGGTGTTGATTGTTGTTGTTTTGTTTTGTTTGTGTTTTTGTGTTGGTTTTTTTGTTGTTGGTTTTTTTTGGTTCTGTATTTATTATGTGTACTGAAATGTCTATTTGTGCCCATTTATTCACAATACTTCATCTGATTCTTCATTTCAGAACCCTGATACTGGCGATATAGATGATGAAGGCGAAGAAGAGGAAGAAAAAGGTAAAATAAGAAAAACAAAAGATGCATTTCTAAGTTTTTGTTTTGTTCATGTGTTAATTTGGATAGATCAAGTTATGAAAATAGTTCTTCGTGCAACGACAAAAGCACTTAATAAAAAGAGCCACATGAATTGATGTGCTAGGAGACATGTTGCTGTTTCCTTGTTTTACTTGATACTTGAGTTACTGAACCCTTTTCCTGCTCAAATACTGAGGGCAGTGTTTTATGACATTGTGTTGTTTTGCTGAGTCTCTCTAACTTTAAGTATTTATGAATGTTTTTCTTCTCAGAAAGACGAATATTGTGGTTTCAGGTCTTGTTATTTCACTTCTGCGTTGCTGATTTCAGAAATTTTGTATATTTGGGAAACATTCCTTTGGATGATGTTCTTTTTTGCCTGGCATCTGATTCATCGTTTTAGTTCTCTCTTTTCTAATAAGTATTAATGTTATTTGTCTTTCGAAAAATGTTTCTGTACACATTGGGAAACATTTGTACGAAAAATGTTTTATATATATATATATGGCACTCACGTTTTATATATATATATATTTATGTCATTCTCTCCAGATGAAGATAGTGAAGAGGAAGTGAAGCCAGCCCCCAAAAAGCCTGAAGTGGAAAAGCCTGCCCGGCCCTCAAGAGCTTTTGTAAGATTGTATTGCAAAAAAAAAATTATTCCCATTAAACGAGACAAAAAAAGATTATATGTTTTTAGAACTTTATTTGAGCATTTGAAATTTGTTTGCCCTTTTTTGTCAGTTCCTGGCTATTCGTGGCGGTGAAGTTGTTAGTTTTTTTTTTGCAATGGTTTTATTTTGTCCTTGGAATTGTTTTTGTTTTTTATTTTTTAAATTATGCCTGATTTGGTATGTGACGGAAATATAACTCATGCTGATTTATTTCTGAGCTACCAAGTCTTCATATGCTTCAGTTGTGATATAATCGTTTGTCAGTGCATGGACAAGCTTTAGTTAATTACCTGATTTTTTTTGTGTCTGTTCAGGGTGATGATGACGATGATGAGAGTGACTTTGGGACGGAGTCAAGCGATGAAAGCTCAAGTTCAGAAGACGAAATGCCAGCTGTTGGAAAGCTGACAGCTGAATACTTTTTGAAATCGTAAGTTTTATGTTTATAAGTGAAAGTGTCATATATTTGTTTTTTGTCCTTCGTAAGACATGCGACAATTTTACTGTTTTGTTTCTTTTTTCCTTCTCTTCTTGCTATAATCTATTGGATAGTCATTCTTCTTTTCTCTCCTTCTATAGTTGCTGTCTATTAGTTTGGCTTTTCCATTCCCTAAAGTATCCGTAATAATCTTTATGTACTTGTCTTTGTCCAAGCAAAAAAGAAAATAAATAAATTTTACAGTGCATGATAAATATTCTTTCACCTGATATTTGTTTTATCTCAAACCATCTAGAACCACTGAGCAAGAGGAAAGGAAAAAGGAAGAGAGGAAAAGGGAGAAACGTTTGAAGAAGGAAGAGAAAGAAGCAAGGAAAAGAGAGGAAGAAGCTCAGGAATGGACAGAGGTTAGCCGTGGAAATGCTCCAAGTCAAGTGGTTATGGTAAGTTGGGTTTTGTTTTTTTTTAATCCAGAAAAAGTATTGCTGGAAATATTCTATTATTCAGGAATAGTTTTAGATAAATCAGACTTGTATTCTGATCATTCTGATTGTCTGTGATTAGTAGCATGCTCTCTTTCGGTTGGTTGTTTTGTATTGTCTTGGATTAGTAGCATGCTCTGCTTCGGTTGGTTATTTTATTTTTTTGTTTTGTTTCTTGTTTATGCAGTTTGTTTTGCTTTTTCGAAATCTTGCCATTAATGTGGCTGTTTATGTTCATGTTTACTTGTCCCAGTCTTTAACCTTTGTGATTTTGCCATGCTGATCATTTGCTCAGAAAGAAATGGAAAAACTAAGGTTGTTGGGGAGGTGTATGATTTGCTTCCCCTTTTCAAGTGCAGCTGTGTACATGTATTGCATTTGTCACCCTTTCTGGGACTTGTCTTTCTTTGTTCTTGTCGTCAATTTAGGAAAAACGTGAAGTGCATTATTATCAGAAAAGTTAGCACAGATAAATGTATAATGCTATGATCTGCCAGTCTGTTGTAACCTTAAGTTTTTCTTGCATGGGAAGTGGGAGAATGAAAGGAACAATCTTTGGTATCTGCAAAAAAACTTTCGTGCTATTTGTATGAAAGAGTGTGAACATTTGATAGGCTTTCTCCCAAATGTTTGTTTTAACTTAACGAAATAATGCCATCTTCAGGAAAAGCCTAAAATGTTTGCTAAAGACCAAGAGATCACAGTGGAGGCAGTGTGTAAGAAGCTCGCTGAGATTGTGGCCATGCGCGGCAAGAAGGGAACAGACAGGTCCATGATGATTGAGTTGCTTCGTGAGCTGAAGACGATAGCAGAAAATGCCAACCTGGGCAAGGCAATTCAAGTCAAGATCTGCTTCAGCATCATGGCAGCCATTTACGACTACAATCCTAACATTGCCACGTGTATGAAGAGTGAAATGTGGGAAACGTAGGTGTTACATATCGTCTATTGTTTATTGTGTGAGCGTGGTTGTTTTGGTTTTAGGGTATTAAATGCAGCCATGTCAGGAGATTCTTTCCCACTCTAAAATTTAAAAAATGCTGTTGCAGAATGTTCAGATCATAACAAAGATTTTAAAAAATTTCTGGCAGTTGATTTCGATGCTCCTTCTATGAAGTTTTGTTGAATAAGTAGTTGTCTATTATTATTCATTGAAGGGTGAGCTCTAGGGGGTAGATTGTGAATGGTAACAAGCTACTCAGTTTTGATAATGAGTGAGCAGGTGATCGCATTCATGTTAATTTTGCAACTGCAAAAGTTACTTCAACCCTTTTTCGCAGTGTTTATTTTTGTAATACATTCAAAATTGTCCAAGACAGCCTCCCACTCGGAGATGAAAGTCATTCTCTTAGATAGGTGGATGCCTAGGGCAGGTAGCCATCAGAGCAGGTTTGATGAATTAGAAGTATTTTTTTCTGTGTGTCCTGTTGGATGTCAATAATGTTGGTATTTTCTTGTGGAATAACTTTAAAAGTCCGGGAAGGCTATGTAAGCTCAAAAGTATTTTTGATTGTAGCATTATGAATGCTCTTCTCTCATAAACAGAGCTTGTTTACCCACTATCCTGGATCTGTTGGAGACCTTGATAGAAAATGAGGACATCACCGTTGGAGACAACATTCTGGAAGAAAGCGAAAGTCTGGAGGTGAGATTGCCTTCAGTTTTGTGCCTGTTTCTTTTTTCTTTTTGCTGTGTGTATGTTTATTTTGAGATTCAGGGTGATGGCCAAGCCTCCGGAAATTTGAGATTAAAATTCACCAAGTCCCAGGAATACCCTGAGGAAATTAAGGAGTTTCTAAATTGACCCGCAAAGAAAGCCCCGGGAGAGTAAATTTTGTGCTCATGACTTTGAACACCCTTTCTGACAGGGCCAGTGAAGGCCAAGTATGTTTACTTCTTGTCAAGATCTGTTGCAGTATTCATTTGGCTTTCGGCTTCCCAGAGTGTGAGTTTGCACAAACAAGAGGATATGTAGAAGTCATATCTTGTCTGGGCAGTCTCGGGAAGGAATATCAAGATACTTGTTTTTCTTTCTAGGGTTATGGTTTTTCTTTATGTAGAATGTTTATTCCTATGCGGCTGTGTTTCTGTTCTGCTATATGTTCTAAATATAGATTTTATTTGAAAAATATCGAAAGGCCTTAATTTTCTTTCAAGGAAATTGTTTCTTTTTTTAAAAAGAAATGTTTTCTGGGCATGTTTTTATGTTAATATTGTTTGTATATGTGCATTGCCATAACCCCTGTGTTTTTCTATTTTTTTTGGTCAGAAATCTCCATTTAAAGTTCGGGGCTGCATCCTCACAATGGTAGAGAGATTGGATGAAGAGTTTACCAAGATGCTGCAAGCTTGTGATGCTCACAGTACCGAGTTTGTGGAACGGTAAGACGCTTTTACCCATTTCTTTCATCTTTTTAAAACTTTCCATCTGTTCCATCCAAGTTTATTGATAGTTCTTGAGCAAAAATGCATTTTTGAAATTTTCAGTAAAGGGGGGTTCCAACAAATGATGCTCAGATTATAACAGATAATTCTTTTTATTATCATCCTGTGTGGCTTGGAAAAAGTGAGATTTTATTGAAGTTGAAAATTTGTTAAAAAGTGAGAAAATTTATGTGTAAATTTTGACAATGTTTCTATTGCTCTCTATCGTTTTCAAGCACGTAGCAAGCGTCTGAAACTTGTTAGAGAAATGGTCAATATGGGTCATTTTTTATTGTAAAGCTTGTTTTGAAACTAGAGGAAATTTGTGATAGTATTTTTGGTTTGCTGGATGCAATTCTTGACTAATATAAGCACCATTCCATTTTCCCCCCCTTTTTTACCTTTTCAGTTGTGCTGGTTGTTTATTATAAAATGTCTAATTTACCCCTTGTGATCCTTTCAGGCTGAAGGACGAGCAGGCGTTGTGTGACATAATTGACAGGTTGGAAGACTACTTGGAGAAACTCGGAGGCAGCGACGAGATGTGCAGGGTATACTTGAGACATATAGAACACTTGTACTATAAGGTGAGGACTTGTTCTGCCGCTGCCTGTCTGTGCGTTCTCTTTGAATGCTTTTTTTTTGGTTTCGTCTCAGACACTTGTTGGACACTTGTAAGCACAAGTACAGTAGAACTTGCTCTAACCTGTCCAAAACCATCACCTGCACAACAAACAACCACTTCCTACCATCTCTCTTGTTTTTTTTCTTCTAATATCATGAAACTTAAATGTTTTGATGGCAGGTTGATATAAAGTTTTAGGAATGTTTTTGTTCGGATGTCTTTGTTTTGAGTTGGTGGGGGGGGGTGTTTGTTTGTATTTTGCTGAAAGAACTGGTATTAAAAACTATACTTCTTTAGTTGAGCAGTCCAATACAAAGTTATATCAGAGGTTCTGAAACCCCCCGTGGCAGTGCCACTGACTAAAGTGTCTTCCCAAAGGGGGTACATTTCTCGTTCAAGCATAGTAGAATTGTAAATGTGCTGACTCATGTCACGCTCATAGCTGTGCCTGATCTACAACAGGGAACTGCTTCTTTTTCTTTCCTGATCCTTACTATTGTCATTTTCCTCTATTTCTTTTGTATGTTTATCACTCGCTTGTGACCTGCTATTTTGGGGTGCCTTGATAGTCAAAGCAGACCTTGTGCTGTTGAAGCTAGAGAGGTGAGCAGTGTAAGTCTGATTCCCTGTAAAGACTTTTCTGTTGACACCCTCCCTTTGGCGCTCATATGACCTTACGCAATTGCGAGCGCCGTAAAACCCTCTACTATAATAATAAAATAGAGCTTCAGAATCATTGACGAGTTCTAAAAATGTTCCATTTTCATTTTTATTATTTTATGTAAAATTATCAATACAAATTACGCTTCTGTTTTTTACCGTTTCAGTTTGACACCTCAGCCTTCGAAGAAAAGCAAGATTCGGTAAGTTTAGTATTGTTGTTCTAAAATCCTTTACATTCTTTAGCGACTTTTCATGTATCTGTAATGGTTTGAAATAAGAATTTTCTTAGTTCGTTTTTAATTATTCACTCTTTGATTTGTGTGTTGTCTAATTTGAGAAGGCAATTTGCTTGTTAAAGATTGGATAAATACATTTGTTTACCTTCAGCAAAGCAGAAGGGTTAGTGTCCAGAAATAGAAATGCATTGTGTGACACGAATTATTATTTTTGGGCTCAACAGGCTTGCCTGTTTGTCCCGGTTTTCCACCGATTTCGGGGCCTTGTCCCAGTGTCCCGTTATTGCTACGCCTCGTCCCGGTTTCCGTAGATCTCGAGACGGCTACAAAATTATCCCGTAATTATTTCGTTTCCATCCGGTGGATGGAGCATAGTTTTTATTTCGTTGAAAAAATCAATAAACCCTGCTTCCTGTTGAGTTGCCAGAAGAGTGCGGATAGCCAACTTGGGACAAATTTTGGCCTTCCACGCTATTCCTATGTGGCGACAAGGTGTTTTTTGATTCAGCCTCGACTTTTTTTTGTCTTTTTCGATTCGGCATCAATATTGTTTCTGTGTCTGACTTTCTATCTTCACTTCATCATATAGCGTAGCATCTTTGTGATTTGGACCGCGTGCGATGCATCAACAACCAGCTTTCCTAAGATATAGACCTAGATTATTTCTGCTTTTCTGCTAATTTCTTGATTATTTTCGACATTTAGAAGGATTGTTATCCATAATGAAGCGCGCTGCGAGTGGATATACTGGTAATGTATGTAGTGTATATATGTAAATAAATGTATGAGCAGATAACATGAAAATATACTGGTGAGTGGCAATTTTTTGTTACATTTTGTCCTGTCCCTTTTTAGATAAAATGTCCCTATTTTTGACTCTAGGAGTCCCTAATTCAGGAAAAGTGGATTAGGCAAGCCTGGTTCAATATTTTATATTCCTGTAAGACTCTCCTGACCTGCCTGAGCCGTTCCCCTGGTGTCTTTATGAAAAAAGATTTTTCACAACAAACAATAATTGTTATGGAGAGAACATTTATGCACTGCTCTATTAACTGAATCTGCAGGACAAGAGTTCGGAGAAAGTGATGGACAAAATGTGCAAGTTCATCTACGCCAAGGACAGCACGGACCGATTGAGGACGCGGGCCATCCTGTGCCACATCTACCACCACGCCCTGCACGACCGCTGGTTCGACGCCCGTGACCTCATGCTCATGTCCCATCTGCAGGATAACATCCAGCACTCGGATGTCTCCACGCAGGTCAGAGACCATCTCCATTGTGGACATTTTTTTTGGGGGGGGGGGGGGGGGGTAATTACAGCTATTTAATTTAATAATTTAAAAAATTATTTTAACCTTTTCCCCCATATCTCACTTCTTCTGTTTATTTCAAGTGTTGCATGTGAATGGAGGGTGCGAGTGGTAGGTCCTACTTCGTTTCTCCTCCCCCCCTCCACACCCAAATTGCCTCTTTTGTCTCGGTGCTACTAACCTACTGAACTTGTTTGTTTTTTTTAAATGTCTAGTTTTGTTCTCTGACTTTTTTGGTACAGATTCTGTACAACCGTACCTTGGTACAGCTGGGCCTGTGTGGGTTCCGTCAGGGACACATCCGGGATGCTCACAACGCACTGGTGGACATCCAGAGCAGTAACCGCGCCAAGGAGCTCCTGGCTCAGGTGAGTGGTTTTATAGTGTCCTTCTTATGGTTGATGATGGAGAATGAAAGCATTAGAAAAAAATGTTGGCCCCCTGGAGGCTGTTTCGTTTTATGTTTGTTAAGCAGAGTTGAATGTTAGGTCAGGTGTCAACTGGTAGTTAGTTCAGAAACTTGGAGTTGTTAACTGTCAAGCTAATTTTTTAGTGTGCCAGGTGGTAAATTAATTGATTAATTTTTAAAAATATAATAGTTTTTTGAATGATTCATCTCTGACGGGTGTCTTGACTTGCTAGGCAAGGGTCTGTATTTGAAATATAATTGAATGTGAATTATTAATGTGGGGAAAACCATCACATTTCATTATAGGAAGACTCCTTTTGCTGCTAGCATGTTTTTCCAATATATATAATCTCAAAATAAAATGTTTAAAGTCGATTATAGTTGTTTATTTTTATCTTAAATGAAGCAGAAGACATCAAACTTTCAATATATCCGAAAAACAACAATTTCATGGAAAGTCACTTTTTTGTCTTTCGAGCCTCTTAACTGATAATAGCATAGTGCGTCTTATGACTGATATTGAATGGGGCAGACAGATATGCCGTTGGTTGTTTGTGGTTTTTTTGTAACTTACTCCCCTCCCTCACATACTGCTCAGGGTCTGGTTCCTCAAAGACAACACGAGCGCTCCCCGGAGCAGGAGAAGATTGAGAAGAGGCGTCTGCTGCCCTACCACAAGCACATCAACCTGGAGCTGCTGGAGTGTGTCTATCTGGTGTCTGCCATGCTCCTCGAGATTCCCTACATGGCAGGTCAGTATACCTACCGATTGTGATAAATGTTGTACGCCCTACATGGCCAGTCAGTACATACGTTGTGATTGTAACAATTCATGCTTTATGCCATCTGCATTATTATGGTGGGGTCCGTTTAAGGGGGGGGGGCTACACCTGAAGGCTATCTCGCTTATTACTGGACCAAAGTTGACCAAATTTCACTATATAACAAGCATAGTAAGGAGTCTTAAAAACCGCAGTCAAATTTGAGAAAAACCTTTTGTTTCCGTGGATACGGTGGCCATATTGGATATTGTTATGTCTTACGTAATGAATACCGCACTTACTGCTCATGGAAATCGATTGTTTGTTTTTTTTGCATGCGTGTTAACAAACATTAAATCTAAAAATTTGTCTGTTGTTTTTTTCCTAAAAGAATTTTTTAAATTTTTATTTATTTTTTTCTGAGGTACCATTCAAGTTTGCAAAAAATCCGTGAAAATTCACTCAAAACACCAACAAAAAACTATTCCAAATATAAAAAATTCAACAGACACATTTTTAGTATTACATCTTCTCTTCGTTCTGTGAATATTTCATGAAGATTGGATGAAAAATGGTGGAGTTATTCAAAAAAGTATAGAGATCAGTCGCGTTTTGAGAAAACGGCCGGTAAAGAAAAATAAAATATTGACTTTATGAGGAAATGGTGGTGATAAACATGCCCGATATGTGGAAAAATATGGTTTTTGGGGGTTCTTATGCGATGAAATAGTTGTAGGAGAGGCTGAGGACGCTAAAAATGCCTACAACTCAAATTCCATAATTTTGAGCCGAATCAGGGCTTTTGGGGTGTAGCCAAAACAGAAACCTGCAGGACTGCCGAATTTTCTTTGTTTTTGCAGAGATTTCGATTTAGAGCGGTTACTCAAATAGAAGAACAACAAGTGAGGGATTTTATTTGCTTTCGGTGTACTGGTTTTTGGATGAACTATGTTTATTTGACACGGACTCCGTTGTATTTTGATGAATTTAGTAGTGGGAATCAAACTCCTGTTTTCTGTTTGCAACAGAGAAGAGCCTTGCCGTTACATGACAGAAGCTGATAGGCAGTACATGACCGTGGAATACACGCTTACAACTATTTTAGGTCATTTATGGTATTTAGTGTCTGCATCAACTTCTCAGACCTGAAACTTGTAACGCAATTTTTAGAGGTGATTCTGCTTTCTGTGGATTGTGTAATTCCCTTGCTGTGGTTATGTTTACTAGCAGATGAACCTGTTCTACGAACAGGAATAAGAAAACAATCCTAAACCAGTAACAGAGAAATGTTGGAAGAAGCATTCAATGGCTACATACAATGTAGAAATCACCACATGGGTGCTTAAGAGGTTGGGCTGGAACCTTCTGCTCATTAAAATCTTTTGTATCGACTGCTCGGGCTGAGCCACACAGTGGTTGTTTTCATACTGGACGGTTCACCTTCTGATTTAGATTTCGACGTAGATCTACCTGTGCTAACACATTTCTTGGTTCTTGTTCCACAAAATGAGTTCTCTTTCATTTTGATGTGAGTCGGGGCTTTTTCGGTGGCATTCTCAGACATTAGAACATTTCAAACGACTTGGACAGGTTTTACGGGCTTCGATTACTAAGGTATTGAGCAGCCAAATTCGTCCGCCTCGCGGTCAAGTGGTTGAAATATTAGATCTAGCCTAGATCTATTATCTAAGAATAAGATCTACAGAAACAAAATATGGTCTAAATACTTTTGACTTCCTTTACTTAAGATGTTAGATCTTTTTAAAAAATGATCTTACGATCCTGATAGAGGTAGATCTAGATCTAGCCTTACTTTACTCGATAACTAAGGTATTGAGCAGCCGAATTCATCCGCCTCGCAGTCAAGTGGTTGAGATAATAGATCTAGATCTAGATCCATCATCTAAGAATAAGATCTACACGAAGCAAAATATGATCCAGACTTACTTTACTTAACTCTTTTTATTCGGGCTACGAGTATACTCGTAACGAGGACCAGTACGGGCTACGAGTAAATTCAGAACAGCTATACGGTCCTGTCAGAGAAGCTAGTTCTGCGTGTAATTACCAAAATACGCTAATACGATGATGCTAGCTCTGTCTGAATATTTAAATTTTCCAATGAACAGCGGTGTCTTTGTTTTTGATGGATGTAGAAGCTTGAATGATGTCTCAAAAACGCACGTTCACGACCGACGGAGTACTTCTTGAAGAGGCGCTGGGTTATGAGGGGGAATGATGCTAATTTGATGAAAGTGACTCTGAATCAAGTGCTGTAATTTCCGTTGTGGATGACTTAGCAGGGATGCCACTTTCCCACTTTTTCCGGTACTTTGATCCTGATCCACTATTCCATTATTGAGATCGAGATAGAATCTATAGTTGGGAGAGAAAAAAAAACCCACACACACAACTTGCGCCAAATGTTCAAATAACGGAAAAACGAAGACTTCGCCATAAGTTCAAATAACGGGGAGAAAAAAAGACCCGGAAAATTTTTTGCCATTTTCTCTATGTACACCCTTCAGGTGAATTGATATTCATATGTTAGCGAGACCGTGGTGCGTGGATTTTCAGCTATTTTCAAAACAGTTGAGTGACATGCCTGACTTAGACTCATCTAATAGTGATTCAGATCATGGTGAAGGGGTCAATACTGGAATTCGTGCTGTATCGATGGGAAGGGCTAGATCTATAAAATCCAATGGGACGTCGTGGGCGCTGCAATCAGGGTCAAGTTGGGAGGGTGGAATACACCTTCAAATTTACATGGTGCTATTGATGTAATTCTTAACCACATACATTTACAAAAACTACGTTCAGTTTCTGACATAATTGCCAAATTTCCTTAAAACTTAAGGAGAAATATAGCACTTTGAAATATGCACACTGAATTCCAACTCATCTGGCGCGGCGGCCCCAGGACGAGTCCGAGGGGGTACGGCCAGGATAAAAAACATATTAAATGATTTTTCGATCCTGATAGAGGTAGATCTGACCTTACTTTACCATGCCAACGGGCAATAATAGCCTCACCGGACAGAAGCAGTCGGTGAAGTGTTCTTTTCTTTTTCTTTGAATTGATCATTTTTCAGCTTTTGGTTATTTGCAACAAAAAGGCGGGTTTTTCTAAAAAATTTAACTATCCCATGCAAATCCTCACCTAAATTTACATCTGCATAGAAGATTTCACAATTGTCTGTTGTGCGGTTTATGAGTCTATACGATCCAAATGTTCTGGGCCACGCTCCGTTATAATATGATGATGTCTTAAATTGGAACTGAAAGTAAAAGTAGTCTTTCATTATACATGCTGATGGTTTTGGGGGTTTTTCGTAATGATTCTTTGATTGTTTTCTCAGTGAGTTATGATTCATAATTTCAACGATTTATCTTATCTCAGCCCATGAGCTGGACGTGCGTAAGAGAATGATCAGCAAGAACTTCCACCACGTGCTGAAAATGAGCGAGAAGCAGACCCAGACGGGACCCCCAGAGAGCATGAGAGAGCACGTGGTCGCTGCCAGTAAAGCCATGAAGAACGGAGACTGGAAGAAGTGCAGAGACTACATCATCAATGAGAAAATGAATGCTAAGGTAAAAAGAAGTGCATGTTCTGACACGGTTTTGTTTGTTTTTTGTCCCTCACTTCCTTGTGGTAGGATTTGTCTTTACTTTCCTTGTAAAAAAGTTAAATCCTAAAATTACTGTTTTGTCATTCCAATTTCTTTTTGGTTTTCCTCGTAATATAACCAAAAGTTCATATAATATGAGGCAACAAATTTGCCATATACATCATGAACATTTGTAAATTTCAATCTGGACTCATTTATGTCCAGCATATACCCTACATTGATGCTTCCCATTATAATTGTTATTATTATCATTATTATTGATATTAACGATTTTGCATTTTTACTTTCTCGCCAGATGTTGTGGAATTTTTTTATTTTTTAAAAAGTTTCCTGTCCTGTTTATTCTGTATTCATTATCCTGCCTTTTCAAAGGTTTGGTTCTGTTGTGTGTTTCTTAATATTATATTTTCCCCCTCCATCTCACCTCTCTCCCTCGCGACAACCTTGTGATCATTTATTCCAATTCTTTGACCAGGTGTGGGACCTGTTCTATCAAGCCGACAAGGTGCGCAACATGATCAGCGCCAAGATCCAGGAAGAGTCGCTGCGCACCTACCTGTTCCGCTACTCCTCCCTTTACGACTCACTCAGTCTGCAAAGCCTGGCATCCATGTTCCAGATCGAGGTCTCCCTAGCTCACGCCACCATCAGCAAGATGATCATCAATGAAGAGCTCATGGTGAGACTTATTTCACAGTTGGCATGGGTCTCATTATTCCGCTATTTAGCGGATTTCCGCTACGGCCATTTCCTCCACTAAACTCCACTACCACGACAGCGGGCCAATCAGAAAGAGGGTTGTTGGGAGCAGGGTGACTGCCAGGCCCCGGTAATTACCCGGGAATTCGAAAAAAATCGCTTAGACCCGGGAAAGTACATAAAAGATCTGAAATATTTGAAAACCAAATCCAATAACGTCTTAAGTTCATTTCTGCAGGTCACGATTGTGATATTAATTTGTCTTTTCCCGGTCTGAGAGTACGTTTCACGCGAACAGGCAGCTATGGCTGCAAGCCGAATTGTATGTGTCACCGAGGCTCGACTGGAAAATCAAGATCTACTTTCGTTACCACCCAGAAATTTGTCAGTAATAGTCTGACACAGCAACATTTATTGTAACATGTAGGTTCGGCATTACAAACGTGGTGTCGCCATGCAAAGAAGAAAAGAAAGTTATATAAGCGTCTTTTCGGGCTCACCATTGTGACCGGTCAGTGAACCTGCACACGTTTTGAGCGCTGCGAAGTACAGGACTCTGGAATGGGGAGAGATTATTGATTTTTTTTAAAGATGCACTCAGAGATGGGGGGGAGTGCTGGACGCAACACCAGAGGACATTGAAACTGGAAGCAAATTTTAAATGTTTAGGCTATAATCTTGATTACTACTACAAATCTCTGCAAAGTAAAGTGCGCGTTGGTGCAGGCCTTGTGTGAAATCGGGAACCGTCATAACTTGTAAGTGTATTATTGAACTTAAGGGCCTAAGTGTTCGCGTTTCATTGGATGGATGACAGTAAATTGTATCTCTATATTTTAGCTTTCTGTTCAAAATTCGCAGATTTTCAGTGTCACTGCATCTTGTCTTCCCACAGTTCTTACACCACTCACACTGAATAGGTCTTCTTGGTCTATTCTACTCTGCTTTGAGTTTGAGCATTAATTTTTGTCTTTCACGTTTATTATATAGGCCTATATATAGACCTGCATGTTTGCCGACAATCGTCTGAAATCCGACAATCGCGAACCGGCGATGCTATCGCTAGGCCCGCCTGTATCAGTCAATGTGCGTAGTGCGAGGTCTGGCCGACTGCCAGCGGCCCCTTTTTCTCCCGTCGGCTTCATCAGCACTTTCGTTTTCGTGCCGACCGCCGACGCGCGCACCGTCGACTGCCGACGTCGGCGTTTCCGACATAATTGTCGGAACCTAAGTAGAAATGCGAATACGAAAAAGGACAACAACCTAAATTATCTACTTTCAGTTTCGTGCTCGGGCGGCCATTTTGAATTTTGTTTGTTGACTAATTCAATTGTTCAGATCGTGTGGATTCATTCAAGTCCAACTCTCTTGTTCTAATAGAATCTAGATCTCGATCTAGATTTATATAGATCATTATAGACCTCAATGGAGGATTCATATTCCAATTCTATTGTGTCAAACTCTATCATAGGTTGTGCTGTAATATTAATATTGGTAAAAATAAGCATTTCATCAGGTGCATGAATTATTTATTTATTTAGATCTAGATCTAGAATCTAGACTCAGCTGAGTCCCTCTGTTCGGAATTGGATGCGGATTTTTAGTTCAAGGCCTATTCCTATTCACTTGTTCTACTAGATCTAGATCTAGATTTATTTAGATTACTAGATCTATATGGAGGATTCATATTCCAATTCTATTGTGTTATTGTATCAAACCCTATAGCAATGTAGATGTAAGCCATATAGATCTAGATCTAGAATCTAGATTAGATCTATATGCTCTTTGTTTGTTTTGGAGTGTGGTTTTTTAATAATAAAAAAAATTTTCATTTAGGACTTGTTTTGGCCTTTTTACATGAGGCCCGTTGTAGGTTCTTTTTGGGGTTAGGGTTAGGTCTCTTCTTTATTGTGTTTGTTGGGGTGGTCGCTCGTTACTCGGATGTCCTTCCTTATGACACCCACAAAGGCTTTTGGGGGGGGGTGCGCAAAATTTTCAGCCAATCTGGTTGAGGCTCACATGCAGGTCTATATATATGATATGAATCATGACAATCGATATTCTGGTTCTAGGCCTTTTCTCAGGCTCAAAACAAGATTCATATTTATATAGTTTATATATAGGCCTACAGGCGACTATGATGAAGGGAAAATATAAATAAGTCGCACAAGACCCCAGGTGCCACCACTTTCTGTAATCAAGATTGTAAATATTTGGTAAGTGACTCGTACTTGAAATTATCTTGCTTCGATAAATTGATTGTTTTTATTTCAGTATTCTAGGGTTCGACAGTATAATAATTATAGGCGTTTCGCGAAAATGGGGTTCTGTGGCGATCACCCGCAAAGTTCCTCCTTTTTTAGAATTCTGAGTTGAGACCTTGGGGGGGGGGGGGGGGGGGGGGCAGTTATTCCTGCATTCATGGGTGACAACTTCACAAGATTTTTTTATTTTTTTAAAATGAATTTTACCACAGCTGCCAATGCTGTTGAGAGAGTATCCGATTTAATTTCCAGGTTTTTACGCAAGTTTTGGTCTTTTGGCTGTCATCTTTGTTCCTTTAAAATAGATGTAGGAGTTAAACACATTACACCCTAACGGTCTGGACGGGAAGTCCATTGTTAGATCCTAAGAAAGGGGAAGGAACCCACCTCCCGTGAATACAAGCGTTTAAAAAACACATTAAAAAAATACTAAACAAATTCCAAAAATCCTTTAAAAAATAAAAGTTAAAAAGAAAACTGAATGTAGTTTCAGAAAAATATAACTTTATGTATGCACAAACTGTTGGAAAGGTTCTAACTTTAGTTCAATCGGGGTGTCCGACCCGTCACTCTCACTCTGCCTCGCGGTCGGGCCCTAGATCTAAATTCTAGATTTTCTACGTCTGATCAATCTGAATCGCCCTAAACTCTTGCTACTACGTTTTCATCAAAATCTGAGCCATCTCATTTGTCATATGCTTGTTTTTGCTAAAAATCCATCGTTTTTTTCCATTTTCGAACTCAATTGTTTCGCTTTTCAACAAGTCGAAACACTTTCGAAGTGTCGGTAACGCGATTGCGCTTTGATCAGCTCTAATACTAAAACTACTGGCCCGAAAAATTTCGTTTCATTATCAAACGAAAGAAGAAACTTTTTGCAATAACTATGCAAATCGAAATCTCGGCCCCAGAGTCTCGTTAAGGCGAGACTTCGTTTCTAAAGACGCTAGGTTGGCGTGGGCGAGTCAGGGTGGAGTGCGTAAGGGAATTCCTGGGCGAGTTAGGGTGTAATGTGTTAAAAATTGTGCCGGGAAGCTTAAATATGAAGATTTCTAAAGCCACTGTCGTAAAAAAAAAGAGTTCAGTGCTTCCACTGTTCCGTACTTTTACGGAAATCCGTCATTTCTGCCAGTTCCGTACTTGTTCCTCCATCATTATCAACTCCCTCTGTAAAAATCTGCGACAGCGTACGACTTCCGAAATCCTGTAGCAAAAGATCCGTACTCGCCTTCGTATCGTCTTGGGTAGTATAAGTTACTGATATTTACGGTAATTCTCTCAGCAATAGTTAGTTACGGTATAGAAACCTGCCAGATTGCGCAATTCCTGCCATCGGCAATTAAGCCTCTATGCCCCGTGCATTCATTGCAGGTTGGTCGACAGTACATTTTTTACCTGCAGATTGATCAAAATCTGGCGAACTTTCGTGCCACTTTCCTCCTTTTTATCATTCCTTCATTCTGTCTGTCTATCTTTGAATTGTTGCAGAGGCTGGAAAATCTGCGCGTTGATCAAGTAAATTGACTTGTGATCTTAGAAAATTAGTGTCTGAAAGAAACTTTTTCGCAAATTTATTATCTAGATCAATTATCAGTGCGAAGATTCTATGGCATGGGAACGTGATACGGGTCGCGATGAAAGAAATTTGTGCTAAAACTATAAAATCAAGACTAATTCAAGGTGGTGTTCCGAGGTTGTGACATGCGGCATTCAGACGTGAAAATTGAGGAAAATTTAGGGTATACGCTGGGTAACTGTATTGCGAAGGTACATATCTATTCATTATACCCAGGTTTGCCTTCTATCAATGGTGCGATGACAAATTAATTGAATTACAGTAGCAATGGAGGGGGAACCTACTTTTAAACATTGCCAGCTATGGAAAGATAGGTGTGAAGAAATCAAACAAGACAAAATCTTGGTGAAAAAATAGGTAGTATGGGTTGTTGGCAATCTCTCCAAACAGGCTCCCAAATGCCATTTTCAACCCTCTAAAAGTACTCAATTTCAAATTCTTCGGGGGCTTTCCCCTCTGAAACCCCACTGTCCCTGGAGACCTCCGGCAGATTTTTCCTTACTTCAGCTGACAGTTTTGAGAATTGCAGCTCAAATTCAGCAATGTCTTTGTTTTTTCCTAGTTGTATGTGTCCATCCTGCTGAAGAAGCTGAATGAGCCTAGCTGCAAAAGTGGATTATTTCAATTACAGTAGAAATTGTCCAAGATGGTTACCCATTGTTGAGGTGAACAGTGGTTGTCTTACTCAGGTGGACATCTTGGGTAGTGTTGTAGTGTTATTATATATATATATATATATATATATATATATATATTGGCAAATGGGAAGTGGTCACTTAGACAGGTGGTCATTAGAGCAGGTCCAGCTGTGCTGAAAGGATGGGCTTGAGGGGGGGGGGGGGGATTGTTTTAGAGGGACGCTGAAGTATTTTCTACTTGTGCCCTCTCCCTTCCTTGTTGCTCCAGGCTTCCCTGGACGAGCCGACCCAGATCGTGATGATGCACCGCACGGAACCCACGCGCCTCCAGTCCCTGGCCCTGCAGCTGTCGGACAAGGTGGGCTCTCTGGTGGACAACAATGAGAGGATCTTGGAGATCAAGCAAGGGAACTTCTTCTTCAACAAAAACAGTACGTTCTTTTTCACCATTTGGCTCGCTGGAGAGAGATTTTCTCTTCTTTTCTTTTTCCATTTTCTGTTGTGTGTGAGAATCAAATGAGGCTTCCATTTTTTCATTCATATTAATTTATTTCAGTTGTTTTTTAAAATTTGTAATTCACAATATGCATTTGGTCTTCTCTCTTTTTTTAAAAAGAAAAAGATACCACTGTACTCGATCTCCATTTCTAAAGTGGGTTTTTTTTTAATATATATAATATGAATATAATAAATTGTGAGCAGGGGAAGAGAACAGTTAGGTAGGAGTTTGATTTTATGCGTTGACTTCTTGTACAGAGCGTAATAAAGATATTAAACCCTCAATTGTCTTAATAACCTTGAAAACGGCCAGTGTAAATCCATGATTGAAGGGATATATGTATCAGTATGACTTTTCAAAGACGTTTTTCATGTCAGTTTTATTACTAGCTTTAGATTGTGTTAGTTCTTCTGAGGAATAGAGGGGTTTTGGGTTTTTTTTGTGCCAACCTGTAGAATATTATAACCTTTATTTTGTCTTGGTTTGTGACTGAAAGCCCAAGGTGTGTGATAACTTTTCTCAGATTGCAGAGATATAAGCAATGCCTTACTGCGAAAGTCTGATGCTGTTTTGTTTAGCAGTAGCATTGGTTATGATGTATTTGGTGTTCCCCTTAACATACTGGTGCATGCTTTGTGCAGAGCAACATTTTTAACTTGGTAAGATGTTCGTTTTATGCTTCCCAATGGTTGGAGAGGAAAATAAGAGGACTGTTCAAGTCTTAAAGCCATTGTGGTGTAGGGCACAGTGTCAGTTTCTTCTGAGAGTTGAATTTTTTTTTTCTTCCCCCCATATTTTCCTGGGTTTGTCTTATTCAATATTTCACTTCTTCCCATTTTGCTATTTGTTTGCCCCCCCCCCCCCCCCCCTACTTTTTGCACTCAAACACCTTTTTTTAACATCTTTTATTTGCTATTGCCCTTGCCACAGGATATGGTAAAGATACCCCTTTTCTATTTTTATCTGTTGTGTTGTTCTGGAAGAAAAAAGGTGTCATTTTTCCTTTATGATCTGCTTAACCTTCTCAATTAATTTTCTGATTCCATTAAAAAAACAAAAAAACAAGCTTGTCGTTCGTACAGGGTGTGATGACAAGATGCTTTTATTTTATATTGCTGTGTCAATGTGTGTCTAGCTGCACCAGCATAACATTTTGTGTTGTGAAAGTACATGGTAGATGTGGATTTTACAGGGCTCTACGTTCAAAACAAATAACTACTTTTTTCAATGCCCAGTCCCCCCTAGCATTTAAAGGACTTTGGCATGTTATATTCGAGGGCCGCCAAGTGAACTATGGTACGTCATGTTTTTCAAATTTTACGGGAGAGACAACCTACGAATGCCATGACAGACATTAGGTTCCCTTAGAAAATAAAGTTTATCCGCCCAAAACAATGTAAGAAAATCCATTTTTTGTCTCTTCTGTAAAATTTGACGAACATGACCTACCATAGTTTACTTGGCAGCCCTCGAATATTCTTGTGCGTTGTTGTATTAAAAACCTCTGTTTAACCTCTCTCTAATATAAATATATATAGGTGAGCATGAAAAAGGCTATTTTGTTAATGACAATGCTCTACTCGTTTCTGACAAATTAAATCAGAAAATTGACTCCCAGAAAGCTAACCGTTTTTAAAAATTGAGAATCCTTTGTAATTCAAACAATTTGTTAACCGGTTCAGTTTTAAGTGCCATAAAACTCTTGCTAAAAACTAATAACGTTCTACTCAATATGTCAAGCTTTAGGACTTTAGGGTCAACAAATAATTTCTATTTCAAAAGATTTCTCAGTGTTGTTGTAGCTTTTGTTTTCTTGGTGTTACTTTTATGACTGATTTAATTTGTCAAAATATTATCACCCCCACTAAGTGCCATCTGGAAATAACTCCCACCCTCATCTCAGACAGAACTCGTCCAAGGCTTTTGTTTCCCCACTTAGTTTTGGTGCTGTCGGCTAAGATAATGTAGTTACTGCATTTATGTATAACTGCTGTGCACAGGCTGGTTTTTCTCTGGAAATAAATCCCACTGCGTTCCTGTTGCTATGTTAAAAGGGGCTGAGTGGTCTGTATAACAACATGTCATTGCTATTGCAAGAAGGATAAGTAATTCCTGCTGGTCCTGTATAAGGTGGGTCCAGACAGAGCTGTATTGGCAGGTCTGCAATTTGCTGGCTTGGTCACGTGTCTCTCTGTCCCTTTTTTATTCTCTTTTTTGTGTTGTCTCTGTGATAAACATTAAGTCGTTTTGTGTGTGTTGTCTTTGTGATTAACAGAAAGTCCAACTGGAACTGATTTAAATTTTTGGCTGACTTAATTTGCTTAGCGATAAGACTGTCTTAATTCAGAAATGTTTGGTGTTCTCCTGCTGGTTAGTAGTGCTTTGTATCAATCAAATTTTATGTTATTATCGATCCAGTATCATGTGATTGATCAAGAGACAAAAATGGTGTTTTAAAGTAAACTGGTTAAATTATATTCTTGGAGAGAGAAAAAGTGCTTTGAAAACTTAAATATTTGTTTCTCTTGTTTCCTGGGTAATGTTTTTGAATTTACAAATAAATTGTTTGTTCTCCTTTGTCAAGGACTAAGTACACTTGTGGAATGATCCGGACAGAAGAGCCCACTCTTACTCTACTTACTTCCCTGTCAAACATTTTTGTAGCTGCTCTTTACAACGTATCCATGGTTATCAGCCAAGTGGCAACAGTTCTTGTTTTCTTTCTTGTGGACACGTCTAGCTGTATTGTGTCTTAGAACTCACCAGCTTGCAGTAATGGCCCAATGTTGAGCCTGCTACTAATGCTAATGTTTCACTGAACTTAGAAATTGAAGGAGTATTGCAATAGCTAAAGGCAATTTCAATAAATGAGTTTAATCCTGAAAAATAGAAATGGCATGTATAATGATAACCTAAATAAAAGTTTCTAAAGAGTATTTTGGTCAACCTTTGTATATATAATAATAATGAAGATCATTTCTATAGCGCCCATTCCCGTGTAAACACAGCTCTAGGCGCTTTACATGAATGCATGTACGAACAATATTCATGCACGCTGCACGCACACACACACACACACACAAACACAAATCCACACACTCAAACACACACACATATACACATACACACACACAAACACACGCATACACACTCACGAACACATAACACGCACACATGTGCACACATGTATGCCAAATACACACACACACGCATACACACATGTACTTGCTTATCACACGCACCCGCTTACACATCGTTACGAAATGAGCATAAAATAATATATACACTGCAATTCACAAAATACATAAATGGATACATAGACATTTACATTACATTGTATTGAACATGAATCTACTGACATAAAAAGGATGTCATTAAATGAAAGATTTTTAAAATTTAGACTCAGATGTTGTATATCTCAAGGGTTGGGGAAGAGAGTTCCAAACTGATGGAGCAAGGTGGGCGAACGATCTTTCAGCTAATTTTTTACCCCCTTTTCTAGGAACTCTTAAAAGATACTGATCGCCTGATCTTAGTGATCTAGATGGAACATAAATATGGTCGCTTTTAAGCACAAGCGGGCTATCCCGAAAAATGCTGTTCTTGGACCCTTGTTCAGTTTCTTTAAAAGACAAGGAGAGTTTTCTCTAATCAAACAAATGTACACACCGATGAAACCAAACTTCTTTTATAGGTAGGGCAATGCCCACTTTTGGTGTAGGTCAAAATTTCTGGAAACCCCCGAAATCTGGGTTGGCCCGCTTGTCTTTAAAATCGACCATATATATAGATATCTGTATGGATGTGATTGCTGGATAATTACCAAAGATGTTAGAGATAATTAAGATAGGAATAACAGAAATGGTTTCTTGCAAGACTTGAGAATTTCATGGAAGGAAAAGAGATAAAATAAGGTGGTACTGAAAGAAGCCCATGTGGGCCGCTGGCTAATCTGAACAATAATTTAAATATGGAACAAACAAAATAAATGCAGTGTCTGGCTCCTTTCTATCGACGTAAGGGCCTTGAACTAGAACCTCTTGCTCTGACTAGAAAAATAGAAGGCAAACAAGGCAGCGATAGACCAAAATATGTCTCATGGTGAAGACGTGGGACAGATGGGGTACCGGGAAAGACCTGGATGATATTGGTATTTTGAGAGCATCTGAGCAAAGATGGATGGTGTGCCATGATTGCCGATGTGTGCTTCAGATCTTGTACGTCATTACGATGATGATGACTAATGCCAACTTTTCTATGAACTGACCGTTAACTTTGAACATGTGTGCTAACAGACTAACCCTTCTGGCTTCTAGTTAACATCACAATGGCATGATCGCATGGGATGTGTGGTTTTCAATCACGATTTTTTGTACGATTTTGTACCTGTATGCCATTTATTTGCATTATTTATAATTTGCGATAGATTTGTGTTTATTTAACATCATGAAATGTGGGTTGGTGGGTAGTATGAGTGTGCAACCAGCTAGTCTTTGTATTTATTTTTTAAAATTTATTTATTTTTGTTCCTGTGTGTGTGTGTGTGTGTGTGTGTGTGTGTGTGTATATATATATATATATATATATATATATAATTTTACAGTGGGTGTCACATTCAACGAGAAGTCGGCTCCAAGGAGGCAATCCTTAATTCCCGATTTGGCCTCTATATATCTTTGTAAATGAATGTCAGCTCCAACGAGGTTGCAAACAGACCAAAGTCGCTTTCAACGAGGTCGCGAGAACCAAATAAAAGCAATCAGCAGTCCCCAAAACGAAGAATTTTTCTTTTTTCTCTCCATCTCACGCGAAACACAAGGCCCATCCTCCATTCCTAACACATTGTATTGCTTGATCTAGTGTGCCTCGCTCATACACGCGCACACTGATGCTGTTTGAGATTTTTGTCATCCGTGGAGAACGACTGTTTTAATTACTGGTATTGGTACATCGTATAGTATAATAACTTGTCTCCTCTCTTTTTTTTGGCCTTAGTCTCGTTCAACGAGAGGTCGGATCCAACAAGGACGACAAGCCGGTCCCGGCAACCTCGTTGAATGAAAGTGACACCCACTGTATATATTATTTCTCTTTGACTTTGACTATATTGGTCATGTAGTTTTGTTAAGTTACTGGGTAAGGCTCTGATTTTTATTTTATTTGAACATAGGATGAATCATTTATGTTTTAAATTTCAGTTTATGTAACACCCGGATGTTTTTCTCTTCATTTCAGACCAACGGGACAACTATCAGAATCAAAACCAGCAGCAGCAGTGGGGTAAGTCATTCAACCATAACCCTTTGAGCCTTGGCCACGGGTTTGCCAGTGTCCCTAGCCACCGGTACACCGGCGACTGAGACCCTATCCCCAAACCAGCCCGTCTGGGACAAAATGGGCCAAGACATTTTTTGTTTCGAAACGTAGCAGTGTCTTCATTTTTATAGACGTACTAAATGTAATACTTAATTGTTGTGAGCATTGTAGTGAAGTCCGGTTAACATTCATGGGGTAAATTTTCAAAATTCACAGGAATGTTCAATGGGCATGATGAGCAGTCTTGCAAGGCAATATTGCCACAGTAATAACAATAATAAAGATCACTTCTATTGCACCCACTCCTTGGTAGCTTGGCTCTAGACGCTTCACACAAACAATAACTAAAGAAAACGTAACCAAAAGTGAATCTCATAGATGAGTAACGTCCTTGTATCTTTTTTTTTGTGTCTCATCCTCAGGTGGCCGCAACCGTCAGAACCGCAACAACCAAAACAGAGACAGAGACAGGGACAGGAATTACTAGAGGCCTAGTATCTGACATCCGTTATTTTTTTGTCGAGTGTTTGCGCTTGGTAACTGGTACGTCAGCCCGAGTCTCTCTTTCTCAAAGGGTTGAGATACTTTTTTTTCTGTGCCCAATTCAGCTTGTATGCGCACGGGTCATTACTTTTAAATTATATTTTTTTCCTTAGCGAGTCAGTCAAATCTTGACGTTTTGTCATCGGGGTTATAGACAGTCGGTTACTTCACCCTAGGATGGGTTGGACTTTTCGCGGATTACCTTTTCACTTGGAAATTGGTTGGGAAAGACATGATAAGCACACTTTTGAGAAAAGAACAATATGTTATTTTGTCCCGTTCTCCCCATCTGTCTGGGGAGCTCTACGTTTTGACATTCTTTCCCTATTTTGGTTTTCTTGACAATAGTCCAACAGGTATATTATATTAGTCACATTTCATTTTTTTTTTTTTTCTTTTAATTGTACTTGGGTGTGTAAGATGAAATTAAATTAATGAAACTCTCATGGTTTTGTTTTCTATGTTGTTGTTTTTGTCTCCAGTCATCCAATTGGGCTTGACTTGTTTACGTTAATGTACTGTGAAGTAACATTGAAAAGATCAGGTTGAAAAAAAGGCAGAGACTTGAGCAGGCTTACCCAGCTCTATGCCCCAGGAACGCCTTCCATCATTGTTGGATCTGTCGTTTAAATTTTGCAGTCAGTGCTGCACTTTAAGTCACTTGAAATCAAATTTGCATTGAAATACAAGTCATGAATGCCCCCACCTTTGTGGTAATGTTGTAAGGTGGTTCTTGGATAAATAATCGCTTACCCTGGTCAATTGTGAACTGAAGGTGAATTTTTTTCTGTCAGATTCTGTTTGTTTTGGCAAGTGTTTTATGGCACTCACAACTGCAGAAAGTCGTATAAATATGCTCTGGACACATTGAACAGTTTGGTAGGAATTAATTTTGAATTTTGCCCAGGTGGTGGCTGAAGCCTACCATAATTTTAGGGCCACCAAAGGATCTTTAAAACATGCACTTCTTGCTCACAGGACCTGCGAGATTTTTCGCCCTTATCCGAGAAAGCTGAGTGACAAGTGTTAGATCTTACCTACTGTAAGATCTTACCTATTCGTAAGATCAGGTTTGTGGCTGAAAGATAGCAGTAAGAGAAGGGAGCTGAGGAGTAGCAGCAGAAGTTGAAAGGCTGCAGAAAGAATCAGGATCCCTGAGGTGGAGGCAGAAAGCGGAGAAGAAAGAAGATAACAGAACATTGTTAGAGAACAGGAAAGGAGGTGAAAGAAGAAAATTTTCTGTAAGTGTCAGGTTTCGAACCCCGGACATTAAATGGGAGGCGAACACCGTAACTTCTAGACCATGAGAGCCCCCAGCCAGATTCTATGGTACATTCAACCTATATTTCTGAATGGCTTCCCACAAATTGGCCTACCATAACTCAAGAGATTATACAGTATACAGTGGAGTCCGCTTAACACGTTACATCCCCAACTCCCTGGGCAGTCCCTGACTCGCCTGCTGACCTAGTGTCTTTAGAAACAAAGTCTCACCTTGACGAGACTCTGGGGCCGAGATTTAGATTTGCATAATTATTGCAAAAAGTTTCTTCTTTCGTTTGATACCGAAACGAAATATTTCGGGCCAGTAGTTTTATTATTAGAGCCTAGACAATCAGAGTATAAGTATAAGAACGTATAGAATAGAGCTCATCGAAGTGTGATCGCGTTACAGACACTTCGAAGGTGTCTCGACTTGTTGAAAAGCGACATAATTAAATTCGAGGAAGGAAATAACGGTGAATTTGAGCAAAAACAAGCATATGATAAATCAGATTTTGATGAAAATGTAGCAAGAGTTTGGGTCAATTCAGATTGATCAGACGTAGAAAATCTAGAATTTAGGTCAAGGGCCCGACCGCGAGACTGAGAGTGTCGGGTCGGACGCTCCGATTGAACTAAAGTTAGTACATTTCCAACAGTTTGTCCTTACATGGTTATGTTTTTCTGAAACTACATTCGTTTTTCATTTTAACTTTTATTTTTTCAGGATTTTTGGAATTTGTTTAATATTTTTAAAATGTTTTCAAAGGCTTGTATTCACGGGAGGTGGGTTCTTTCCCCTTGCTTAGGATCTAACAATGGACTTCCCGTCCAGACCTTTAGGGTGTAATGTGTTAAAGTGAACTCTGGGACCGGAAAAAAGTGTTTACTTTATCCGAGGTTCAGTTTAACACATTATACCCTGGATCCCCAGAGAATTTCCTTACTCATTCCACCGTAACTCGCCAGGAACCGCCCGCGCCGACCTAGCGTTTTTAGAAACGAAGTCTCATCTTGACGAGACTCCAGGGAAGAGATTTTGATTTGCATAGTTATTGCAAAATGTTTCTTCTTCCTTTTGATACCGAAACGAAATTTTTCCGGCCAGTAATAGTAGTTTTAGAATAAGAGCCGATCGAAGTGTGGTCGCGTTTCCAACACTCTCAAAGTGTCTCAAATTGTTGAAAAGCAACACAATTGAGTTTGAAAAAGGAAATAACGATGTAATTGGGCTAAAACAAGCTTATGAAGAATCAGATGAATCAGATTTTCATGAAAACGTAGCAAGAGTTTGGGGCTATTTAGATTGATCAGATGTAGAATTTAGACCTAGGGCCCGACCGCAAGGCTGAGAGTGAGAGCGACGGGTCGGACACCGTGACTGAAATAAAGTTAGAATATTTCCAACAGTATGCCCATACACAGAGTTTTTCTGAAACTTTTAAACTTATTTTTTCAGGATTTTTGGAATTTGTTTTGTATTTTTAAAATGCGTTTTTTTGAATGCTTGTATTCACGGGGAGTGGGTTCCTCCCCCTTGCTTAGAATCTAGGAATGGACTTCCCGTCCCGACCCTTAGGGTGTAATGTGTTAACCATTTTGGTAGGGTGGAGGACTAGAAACAGTCGCTATGCACGGTGGAGGGGCTAGGGTGGAGGTGGGGTGGGGGGACAACACAGCAGGCGAGCCAAAACTAGAGCTCTTTCATTCTGATTGAAGCAAAGAATTTTATTTTCACTCGCAGCATGGCGACAGTGACACGGTCGGTCGGATCTTCGCTTTTGTGTGTTCACTTAATCCGATTTCCTCGTGAAACCGGTTCATTTTATCCATTATTTTCTTTTACTTAAACAAATAGTGTTTCAATTGGGACCTCAGAATTCACTTTAGGCGGAATCCACTGTATTTTTTCTAGTCAGAAGGGCCCATGCCACATCAAAGTTCAACTGTATGGACCCAAGTCCACTGCATAGCTTGCTTTTTAAAATATTGCAATGCAGGTGGTTGGAGAGAGAGAGAGCTACATGTTTTGCACTTTTTCAACAAGAATTTTCATGTTTTGTGTACAGAAAAATTGAAAACAGAACATATCAGTATCAGTAATTTGTTGTGTATTTATTTGGAAAGAAAACAACACACATCAGTAAAATAAAACAGCCAAAAAATATAATCTCTGTAACTTTCAGCTGTAGATCTAGATCTCTATACAGGAAAGAAAAATGTAAGAAAAAAAAGGACATCTGGACCTCTGATGTTGGCACATTACTAAAACCAGGGACACCTGTCAAACATGAAACAAACAACTTTTGATGGATTGAAAAATTGAACATGCTCGAGGAACAAAATCCCAACCCATAACCAAGATCTTCTAACAAGGGAAATAACCAGATTGTCACATTGTCACATATTTATATTACAGTGATTACTTCCCTTTAGTCGCATGGCAAGGCGTTAATTGTTATGTGAAAAAAAGGAGGGAAAAAATTGAGGAATCCAAAATTATGCAATTGTTGCAGAATTAAGCGAAAAAATGCAGCCGCACAATCGCATAATCCTACGGGGACAGAACTAAGCACCTCGGAAATAGCTGGTCACAAGAGAGTGACAAACATACAAAAGAAGTAGAGGAAAAATGACGATAGAAAGGATTAGGAAGGGAAAAGTTGCTGTTCAGGCACAGTTATGAGCATGACGTTGATGAATCAGCCATAAGAACTCAAGAATGAAAGTCCCCCTTTTGGGAATGGCCTAAAGACACTTCAGTTAGTAGCACCGCCGCGGAGGGTGATTTGTCAGATGCCGTCAGGATGTGGTATATCAGGTAATGAAGGACATCAGTCTGTAACTGTAGGTTCATGGAGCGTTTGTTCAGCATCAAAGCCTCACGTAACATTTCCCGAGGAGTACTGCAGCCAGTGTAATATAATTCCTGAAAAAGAGACAAAACAAAGAAACTGTTTGATTGCAAACTATGAGGAATAAAGTCAAAGTGAGAGTTTTCATAGTTTATTGCAATACTGCATAACTTTGAGACAACGATCCTAGGTATTGTCATAATAACATAGTAATATAGTGTAACTCAAATCCTGTTAGTGGTAGGCTATACCACCAGGTTTCGCCAATGTACCAAAAAGGATGTCTGTACCGGTATATAAACATAACATTTGCCCCCATTACACCACCAACAAAGTTGTGGCCAAAGGTACACCATAAATATTAAATTTGAATCTGCATAAAGTTCTACTAGAGCTGTACAAGTGATTGGTTACTACTTGGTATTCCGGTGCACACCACAATCTTGTAAGACAGATCTAAATGAGGCAAGACTGGACAGAGTTTGTCTCTAGTCTATAGTCTCTACCACTCAACCACAAGTCAAGATGGCAGTCCATATTTATCAGAGAACACTGAAACTTCGTTATACCACCAGCCCTGCTCTACTGCCAGTTTCAATGTTGGCAAGGAAAGTAAACAGTAGTTTTACAACAGGTTCTGACTGTATTTCAATTCCTTACTTATGGAGGGGTAATTTACAGATTAGTCATGGAGGCTGGTCTCCTAATTTATACAGCAGTAAGCAATATTGGACCAGGTTGAGAAGACCAAAAAAAAACTTGCTTTAAGGAAATCTGGCTCACCACACCGCATTCAAAAGACACTATTCCCAAATGGAGATATTTTATGGGTCTTGAAAGACAGGAATGTGCTGCTGTCACTAACGACAATGATATACAACAGTTAATTGAGGAGCATTCCAAGCCAGAGGACCCTGTGATCTATACGGATGGATCAGTCAGGAGGAGTGAGAGAAGTGGATGGGGTACAGTGGGAACAAAAAGGTTCATGGCATGTTAGGGGCCATAGAAAGAACAACTTCAAGCATGAAAATGGAGATTGAGGCCGTAACAAGAGCGCTTGGATGGCTTCATAATACAAGACCAAGAACTACCCATCTCATTATTGTCACAGACTCCCAGAGCATCTTGCGAAGGGTTGAGAAGGGGTGCTTCACAGTGAATGGATGAACACAATACAACACTCATCACTGAGAGCCATCACGTGGATATTCTGTCCTGGGCACTCTGGAGTGAAAGGCAATGAGGAGGCTGGCAGGCTGGCAGGCAGTGCGGTGGTTGATGGTGAGGTGAAATTTGACAAAGAAGTGTTGAAGACCCTAGAGAAAAAGTTGCGGGATGAAGAAGACAGGGAGACAGCAGAACACCACGCAATCATTAGGATGCGGGAAATGGGGATAGAGAGGGGAGAAGGAAGAAAGGAATGATTATCTGGAAAGGAAAGATGTCGCCGTAATCAGACAGCCACCAGAACAATCAGTATGGATACCTTGCGGGCTTTGGTGCTGGGGGGAACTGAGCACTTATGGACCTGTCCGGTCGGCAATGACGTTGTTGCCCAGGACAGGTAATACAGGTAATACTAATACAATCTGATTCATCGATATTTCAGTTAGAAAACGCTCTTTCCGGTGATACATTTCTAAAGACAGTCCTTAAATCATTCGCTACGCCGAGCCGTGGGGGGCGGTGCGGTTCAAGTGCCGTCAGTACGCTAAGCCGCCCCCGGCGGCTCGAGAACCGACGTTCAATTTTAGCTTGGTTTCTATTCCAATTCACATATCCATGTTAAAATAAAGGTCATAATATAAAGTTGACTTCCAGGTCAAGTGTTTCCACCGAAAATCGGAAGTTTTGATTCAGTTTTGAAACATGATTTCGTAGTTTATTCGACTTTGTTTATCGCGAGGCCCAAATTATAGCCCAGACACCAGTCTTAGTAATTTTAAACAACAAAATGTATCATTATTTTGCTCACTAAAGAAGTGTAGGACTCTTCTTTATAATATTGATACTATTGGACGCAAATTGCCGGTGCACTGTAATTGAGAAATCAATATTTTTTTAGTGCTAGATTTAGGCCTAGATCTAAATAGTCAAAATATTTTTTCTCCCCAAAATCACTACTTTTGGGTGAAATTAATCAAAAAGTACCACTCAGGACATGTATAGGTTTATTCTAAGGGTGACCTTATTTGGGCCACAGTGTGGCCTAAATAAGCTAAACCCCCTTCCCTTACCTTATTTAGGCCACACTGTGGCCCAAATAAGCTAAACCCCCCTCCCTTACCTTATTTAGGCCACATCATATGGTAGATTTCTTGAACTAACCATGGATTCGGAAGGTCGAGATTCTACTGATCTTTTTATTTAGTGCGGGGGATTATTTCAAAATAGAGGATGATTCTAAATAAGTGGACCAAGTGTAAGAGTTGTGTGTGTGTGTGTGTGTATGTGTTTGTTTTGTGTGTGGTTGTGGTGAGAGAGAGAGAGAGAGAGAGATCTAGAGAGAGAGAGAGTAAATGTAGTAGTGTGTTTGTATGTGTGTAATGTGTGAATGTTATTGTGTGCATGAGTGTCTATCTCAGTTGTACGGTCCAAATGTACATTATTTTGTTGAGAATTTTACATAGAACTCAACTACAAAACACCTTTATACAAAGTCACAGAAATATTCTTTTTGTGCTTATTGAGGTGCAGTACAGGGTGATTAAAACCTGCAAGGATAATTGGACAAAATGGGCAATATCTTACTAATGCTAATACTAATGGTCATATTTAGACAAATCATCATTCTCTTTTTTTCTTAACAGCTCATGGTTATTAAAGAGTCAGCAAACTAGATCAAGGTAGTAATTTCGGATTCCTAATATTATGGGCATTCTTTAAAAAATTTAAACTTGTTTTTAGCGCTTTTTTCAACGTAAAACGGATTCCGTTAAAAAAACAACAACAACAATGACCTTATCTTTCTTTTTTAAGGTATTGTGCATACATTTGTGTGAAACTATTTTATTCTATGCTTTCAAGTACATGAAAAAAGCTAATAAAATCAAGCAAAATGTTTTTCAGAGACATAGATCTAGTAGTAAGCCCACTGGAACATTTTATAAACCGTGAAAAGATCACCAGAAAATAACAAAATTATCTTATGATTTTCACTTGCACTTGCAATTTTTTTGACAAATTATCGTCTACCTCGTTATCTTTTTTTTTCACATTTTTCTTCACTATTCATGACAACTGGCATGTTTTCCAGTTATTATCAAGGAAGTGGATAGGCGGACCACGGGGTCTATCTAGCCCCAAAAAGATAGGTGGACCGCGGGGTCTACCTAACAAAATGCTGTTTTAGGATGTGAACCCTGGAATCAGCGTAGTGAAATAAGTAGATCTAGGTTTGACTAAGGATCGGTGGACCCCGGGGTCAACATAGTGAAATAAGTAGATCTCAGTTTATTTTATAGTAAGACTGGCGGAGCCCGTGGTCAATGTAGTGAAATTATAAGTAGATCTAGGTTTAAATTAATAAGGATTGGTGGACCCCTGGGTCAACGTAGTGAAATTATAAGTAGATCTAGGTTTAATTAAGGTTTGGTGGACCCTGGGGTCAACGTAGTGAAATAAGTACATGTAGATCTAGGTTTAATTTTAAGGATTGGTGGACCCAGGAGTCAACGTAGTGAAATAGGAAGGTTTAGGTTTAAGGTGGACCCCAGGGTCTACCTAACGAAATTTAATACTAGTTAGGTTTTAGAATAGGTGGACCATGCGGTCACCGTAGTAAAATAAGTAGGTTTAATCACGGTGTCCCGGGGGTCCACCAATTCTTAATTAAACCTTCTTATTCCTCTACGGCTATGGTGACTCCGGGGTCCACCAATCCTTTTAAAATTAAACCTACTTATTTCACTACGGTGACCCCGGGGTCTACTAATCTTTAAATAAATCTACTTACATGTATTTCACTACGGTGACCCCGGGGTCCACCTGTCCTAAAACCTAGTATTTTGCTAGGTAGACCCCGTTTTTAACAATATCCAGAAAATAACATAAAATGAGTATATAGATCTATATCTATACGCATTTTATTAAGTATATACTTAAAAATAAAAGACTGAGCAGAGCCTCACAATGTAAATTCTGTGCTCTACACGTAGAGAAAGTCTTAAGTTTGCGCAAAACAGATTTTAGAAAAAAAGTTGATCTAATTATTCTAATAAAAGTAAAAGTGATTGTTATGGTGAAATTTGTTATTATTAATTCTGGAAATACAGATAGCTGCTGAATCTAAAATTAACTAGAACTAGAACTGTGCAATTCGTTTTATTTCAATTCCAAAGCCCAAAGGCATAGCAATGAGTTAGATCTAGATCTAGCAGTTGTAGGCTCTCTGGCTGCTTCTAACATTTGTCTGCTACTACTGATTCTAGACAGGGAATCTAGATCTAGATCTAGCTATCACCTGCACTATTAAAGTCAAATATATGGTAAAATAAAAACAAAACTGTGAATCGCTTTGTCAGTCAGTACATCCCAATTGCCATAGCAGCACGTTTTAATAGTTGAATAATTATACCGAAGCAACATGTTATCACAGTGTGCAGGGGAGAGCGGGGTGCCCGGGTCGCTGACCGGTCGATTCGGTGGTTCGGCTTTTGTAGATCTATGCATTTTTTACGGAAAGCCCTATTACTAGATCTATTAGTGTTGTGAAAACTTCAACCTCTACAGCTAAGGCGGCAAAAGATGTTGGAAAATAATAATACGTCCTGAAGTTTCATAATTTATACAGAATAATACAGCCAGTAGTTTTTATCTCATCGAGTTATAAAAATGGCCTTGTAACTTGTTTTCAGAAGCAAATTTTAATAGTTACAGTTCTACCGAATCGATTTTCACGCAAATTCAACCATTTTGATGACCATTTCTTTTCCTTTTAAAAAGATAAAGGCCTGTCGGATGTGGCAGTGCGATTAACACTAAGTTGTTTAGACCCATCAAAACACAAGGCTTCGTGGCCGATCACAAAGGTCTACGGGGCTTATCGAGGCCGATTCGCCCTGCCGCGTGCACGTTCACTAAACTGCCTACTAGATAGAATCTACTACCAAAGATTCTTCTCGATCTTTGCTACTACTACTACTACATCTACATGTAGGCTACTACTACTAGACAGTACGAGAGATGTACTACTACGAGACAGTACGAGAGAGTGCCACCCAGGCAAAGATAGTGTAACTTTGACTCAGCCACGTTGTGTACACACTTTTTTAAACCCCAAATTTGACCCGGAAGTCCATTCGGAGGATTTGACCTTTTTACTTGACCAAAGTGTGCCAAAATGGTAGCCTAGATTTTGCCCCTCCATGAAGGAAAAATCTGGCCCTCATTCAAACCATTGAGATTGAGCAAAACTTTGCGTATCGTGCTTTGTTCTTACAATATTCATTATGATATATATAAGTTGTACACTGAGACAAAACTGTACTAAATGAGAAAGGTGCACCATTATGAAAGTGGAACGAACTCAGTTGCCTTAAAAGGGTGTCCCCTGGTAGTTTGAGCATGTGTGGCCTAAATAAGCTAAACCCCCCTCCCTTACCTTATTTAGGCCATATGTGGCCCAAATAAGCACTCCCTTATTCTAAATGCAATTCTGAATAATTTCATATAAGTTATCTGTATTTTTTTCTGTTTGTGATCCTTTTTTCAAAATTATTTTAAAAATTATATTTTTTTCAATATCGGATGTTATGATCCAAATGTACAAATATAATGGAATGTATGTAAATAACTGCACTTTTTTCAATATTTTCCTATTCTATATACAGTTATGGTTATTTTGAGGTATCATTTGACTAGGTGCAAACATATTTTTTTAGTTTCACCTGAGATTATAAATTTTTTATTTTCCAATTTTATCCGCATCCAATCACAATTGTGTTGCATAATCGCCTCTTACAGGAACCAAAGTTGAAAAATACGCAAATAAATAATGCAGATGTATTCTACAAACCATACTGAAAATGTTGGTATATAATATGTTGATATTTTTTGAATTTATGGCCCCAAAGACCTGTGAACTGCGCACTAGTCATCATCTCATTTCGCCCTCCCAAAAAGAATTCGTCCACAAGCTGAAAATAATACGTAGCGAATGAGTTAAAGAATTAATAGAAGAGATTTGCATTTGAAAACTTTCGATGCAGTTTTTTTTATGGAACCAGTGATCGTATTGATTACGGAAATGTATCGGCAGAAAGTCCATTCATTATTCTTCAAGAATAACACAGCCATTATACGCAAATAAATACCGGACGCTCCCCATCGGCTCGCAAGCAGGGCTCCATCACCCCCGTTTCGCATAAATTCTTTCTCGTTCCCATCAGCGCGGCCCGGCGCGCAGCCGATAAGCCGGTGGTCGCGAGTGGCAATTTTCACCTCCCGTTGTATTTCTTGCCATTTTGGTCAAAAAGCCATGTTTACGTCAATAAATTTCCATCTTCTGGTTATTTGATAGCCCTGAAAAAAATTGGGCTTGTTTTCTATGTGCATGGGTGTGTGTTTACAAGTTTTTGTGCATGTCCACTCAAATGTAAGAATGTTGTGACATCTCAAAGTGCAGACATTTCGCAATTTAAAAAATATAGCATTTTTCTGCAACTTCAGATGTTCATAACTTTGTTAAAAATGAAGCTATAGGTATAAATTTGGTATCAAAATGCTAAAAATAATACATTCTATAAGGTGGTGCAGTTAACTATGAAATCAGAGGACTTTGAAATTTCAGTTTGTAGTACCTCCTTCTTCCTTTATTGCTCTTGCTGCTGCTTTGCATACCGATTAGTTTTGTGAAAAAAGCGTTCGAACAAAGACTCGGGGAAGAACAAAGAAAAAAAATCATGAGGTGGGGCATTGAATGGCAGGTCGTGTTGGGGGCCCTGAATATCAGCGTCTACATATGGCCTCACTTCGACAGGTTTTGCTGGAAAAGTTGGAGGCAGTGGTATCCAGTCATCAGGGTTTTGTGTGGTGTTGTTGCCCGTGTTTGTAGTGTCGCCGCCGGTGTTGACATTCTCAGTCTCCTCTTCCTCTCCATCATTGTCATCGTTCTCCATCACTATATTTAAGTCTACGTCGAATACTTGTCATTTGAAAAAGCATTTTGAATACCTGTAGCCCCTAGCATATTTACATCCAGTCCATTCAGATCACCATCGTAAATAGAGCCAGTGACTTCGCGAAACAAACTCAAAACTTTGTCCATTGCTGAGCAGAGCTGAGTTGAAAGTGCCGTGTTTACAATTGAAAATTAGCTCCGACTTTTGTTCCTGCTCAGAAAGTGACTATGTGCTAGCGAAACAAAAAAAATACCTCAGTAAACCGGAACTCTTCCTCTATAAAGATAGGTAAGTGAAACTTCAATTGAAAGTAAAAGTAGAAGCCTCCTGTGGCAATGAAACAAACACCCCCGTGGCGGGCGCTATAGGGATGAGCGGGGGTCACCAGCGCGGGCGCATTCGGCACTGTAAATGCAAAACGATTAGAGTAGGTCAACCTTAATCTTCATTTAAGATGCATCATAGTCACAGACTTACCTGCTGCCACAGACACGTTGAGAGACTCAACCCCTCCGGCCTGCGAGGACTGGGATATACTCAGCATCTGGTCACACTGTCGGACCAGGTCGTCACTTATCCCGGAGCCTTCATTGCCTGATGACACAAAAACAGAACCCTGCCAATGTCAATAGCAATACATTGAACAAGTACAAGTGTCTTTACTTTGAATGTACGCTAGGTGTTTTTACGCCCCTATCGACACAATTTAGATCATTTTGGGTCATTTCAATCAATTCGCATCTTGAACACATTACACCCTAACTCGCCTGCGGAATTTCCTTAGATGCTCCACCCTAACTCGACCGTGGAATTTCCTTACATACTCCACCCTAACTCGCTCGCGGAATTTCCTTACATGTTCCACACTAACTCGCCCGGAATCTCCCGCTCCGACCGAGCGTCTTTAGAAAACAAAGTCTCTCCATAACAAGACTCTAGGGCCAAGATTTTGTTTTACATAGTTATTGCAAAATGTTTCTTCTTCTGTTTGATACCAAAACTAAATTTTCCGGGCCAGTAGTTTCAGTTTTAGAGCCGATCGAAGTGTGATCACGTTTACGACACTTCGAAAGTGACTCGGCTTGTTGAAAAGTGACACAATTGTTTGAAAAAGGAAATACCGATGGATTAGAGAGCAATACCAAGTAAATGAGAAATCAGATGAATAAAATATCAATAAAAACATCGTAGCAAAAGTTTGGGGCGATTCTGATTAATCAGATGTAGAATTTAAATCTTGAGCCCGATCCTGAGGCTGAGAGTAAAAGTGACGGGACGGACACCCCGATTTAACTAAAGTTAGAACATTTCCAACAATTTGTACATATAAAGTTATATTTTTTCTGAAACTATATTCATTTCTCTTTCTAATTCCCCCCCCCCCCCCCCCCCCCCCCGAGATTTTTGGAATTTGTTCAGTATTTTTCAAATGTGTTTTTCTAAATGCTTGTATTCAAGGGAGGTGGGTTCCTTCCCCTTGCTTAGGATTTGGGAATAGACTTCCCGTCCAGACCCTTAGGGTGTAATGTGTTAATAATCAAATAATAATCACAGAAAGGAAAATTTGGCAGCAACGTAAACAGGGTGGAAAAACTGCATTTGATGGTGTTAAGGAAGCTACCTTTTGCTTAACCCATCTGTACGTCATGTTTAACTATCGTATCCATACGACGTGGGGAACTCTGTGCCACCATTTTCAAACAGGAAATTTACTCGTTAATCCGATCCGTACGCTTTGCATAGAAGTCTGTCAAAATGATTTTTAGAGAAATACTGAAAGTTTCAAAGAGATCTTCGTACTGGAAGTATTCTAAAATGTGAAGAACACAATTCCGGGGGTACAAAATGAGACCAGGGCGTACGGATAGGGTTAAGTAAAAATTTCAGAGTGGACTAATAAAAACTTAAAGTGCACCTCTATCTTCTGACCCAAATACTGTCTCCTCGTTGTCTAGTAGTTTGACACAGTCAACGGAGAAAAGAAAATTTCTAATTTGCAAGAACAATCAAAAGAAGTTACAGGTACATGCCTAGTATAATCAGGGTGGGTGAGTGGATCCTGCACTCATGAATGGAAAGGCATTCACTGTGACCATTTACAGAGTTTGAACCAGTTCCCAAAACTTTTCCACCTTGATCTTTCCACCACTGAAAATATACAAAAAACAACTGAAGAAATGTTGGGGAGATGACAGCAACAAAATGTTAAAACATTTAAAGAGCATTTTAGAATGAGTAAGGAAGAGGGGAGTGTGGGAACGTACCCCTTAAGGGGAGTCAAGAGTCCGAGTACAATTTTAAAAACATGAACAACAACAGCACCATGCAGCAAGGTTGATAGGACAGTCTATCACATCAATTCTACTCTTGATTATAAATAATATAAATCTTTATTCTTAAAATGAAAACCCAATAGGGTGATATAATTATGTATTCATTTTTTTTAACTCTACACACTCTGAACCACCAGGGACAAATTTTATTGATAGAAAATTTTTAAGGAGAATACAGTATTCAGAATCTCATGCGCAGAGAGGAAAACAAACACTGGAGAAGTGTTCCAAATGGCGGGTTATGAAAGATCTCTATAATCTGAACCATCAGAAAGAAACGATTGAAATTCTCTGGACCCATAAATATACTGACGGGCATAAATAGCACAAAAAAGTAACACAGTGTGTAGAAAACAAAACTGAGTATTTTCGTGAGTTGTTTTCATTTGTCTCTATTTACAATGCGTTCTTGTTATTGGATTGGCTCCATTTAAAAAACACAACACGCCCATTGGCTGTTTATGCATCATACAATACAACAAAGCAACCCCCCAATACAGTAGTCTCCGCCTAAGATCCCGGTGCTCGGGAGCAAAGAAATGCGGGATCTTAGGCGAACCGGGATCTTAACCGACGATACCAGGGAAGAATCTATGGGGACTCATGTTAAGGCTTACAATCAGTAAAATGGTCTCCCTCCACCTTAAAGTGAACTGACGTGACCCCTTGCGGGTTTATGACGTATGGCGAGCAAAGAGTGGTTATCCCTGATGGCCTATCACAGTGCACAGTGCATAGTGCCATGAGGCGTGCCATTTTCACTTATTATCCTGAGTCTCAAGATCTACGCTTATTCAGTTGCCCCTCCCCTTTACCTGTCGAAAATTTAAAGCTTTCCATCTCTGACCGAATCCCCCCCCCCCCCTTCCCCAAACGCCTTTGTCGTTACACACCATTACGTCGTGAACACACCATTAAAATTCAGTCTGTCTAGCAAATTCGGGCGTAGAGACAACTGCTGCAATCAACGCCTACTGCAATGGTCAGGGAAGAGTTCATGGTTCGATGTGATCCCACCTGGAACGAACATGGAGGCCCTACCCACCCAGCGAGTGATGTAAGTTTAGGGGGAAAGCTCAGGTGTGAGTGCGATGCGTGGGGAAAACAAACGCGTCGGTCAGTTTACACCGCGGTGTGATCCCGTCGGGGGCAAACATTGTATCGCTTCATCCAGTTTTACAACGTGTATGTGATCACATTCACGATAATGGCTGATCTTTGACGCGACGGACAGTTTATTGATCTCAACTTTTCACTCTTGCTTGATCGGCTGTCCCGCCCGCGTTTTTGTTCCGCAAATTATTATCTGAAATGCGGGATCTTAGCCGAATGTAGACCTTCAGAGTGAATCAGAGCGGGATCTTAGGAGTGACTTTTGTATAGTAAAAATTCTGTTTTCTTAAAACAGCGGGATCTTAAGCGAACCGGGATCGTAAGCGGTGGGATCTTAGGCGGAGACTACTGTAGTACTAGTACGCAATCAAAACGTGAATTGAATCGTGAATTTTTGCTCACATGTTAAGTTGGTCTGGCCTATAAATTCTCTGCCCTAAAATGGTTGATTGAGTGTTACAGAGTACGACTATCAAGATGCCAAGATTATCTGCGGAAAATTGAGGAAGAGCTATTGGATGTCTGCAAGCCGGCGGGAGCCCTCAGCAGGTGGCAACAGTCCTGGGAGTGCGTGCCAGCACTATCTTATCTACCGCCTGCAAAACAGATTCCAGGCAACCAACTCCACCAGAGATCTCAAAAGACGCAGAAGACCTTGACTGACAACAGCTGCCCAGCCCAAGACCGCTTCGTCGTGCCTCGGCGTCGCCAAGATCCACGGCTGTCTGCCTCCGAGACAGCCCAGAAGACCATAGGAACGCATGGTAGAGCCTTGAGTGACCGCACCATACGCCACCGACTTGTGGCCAGGGGGCTCGGTGTCGGCTTCCGGAGCAGAGAACACCCCTGAACGTCTATCATCGATGAACTCATCTCCAGTGGGCTCAGAACCACGTAAACTGGCGTTTTCAACAACAGCGTGTGATCTTCAATGACGAGAGTAGCTTCTGCATCGATCCTGACAATAGAGGGGTCCGAATTTGGCGCCACCCCGGACAACACTACTCTGACGAGAACATCTGGGAGAGAGATCCAAGGGGAGGTCAAAGCGTGATGATATGGGGCACAATCGGTATCAATCAAAGACTGGGCCCCATAATCTTCCAAAATTTAGGACCTGGACGTGGCAACGGAGTGACGTCACAGCACTACATAAACCAAGTACTGCAGCTCCACTTTGCTCCATTTTTTTCAGGGACATCAAAACCACCTCTTTCAGCAGGATAACGCCCAGCCTCATACAGCATGTGCTACCCAGCAGTTCCTGGTGCAGAACAACATACCCACCATGCCTCACCCACCCTGATCACCAGATGTGAACCCAATAGAACACCTTTGGGACGTCCTTCAGAGGCATCTCAACCAACTCTAGCCCAGACCCAAGACAGCTGCACAACTGGGTGCTGCTATTCTTCAGGAGTGGGTGCAGGTCCCCAGCTGCCAAATCAATCGCTTGATCCACTCTATTCAGCCCCAATGCATTGCTGTCATCAACGCTAATGGGGGTCATACCAGATATTGACTGGAACTTAAGCCCCAAGGTCAAGGCCATTGATGCCGAATAACAAAATCTGTCCGAAAGCCAATCCCAAACTCTCAAGCACTGTTTTGTGCAATTTGAGACACCTCAAACCTGTTTCTCTAAATAAAAATATTGCTTCAATTTCCTCTCCTCTTCTTTTGTCATGTGAATTCGCATTACTTTTGCCACTGAGTACAGATCAAATGGACTAGAGAAACTTCTGCTGTGTGGAAAGACAGAAGAAAGGAAGACAGGAAACAATATAGGCTACTATACACATATGGCCTGAACAACTTTGCGAAAAACAGCAAACACAATGAGAAAAACCGGAGCTGATCAGGAAGACAGAAAGACAACAGGAAGGAATGAAGTAACATGATAGTGATGGTCGACGTCTGCTCCAGACCAGACATCTGAAGCAGTGATCATAACAAGCAAAAGTGAAAAAGGAGGAGGAGGAAAATACCGAACTCGCGAAATAAAATCACAAGACCCTACCACACCCATAAAAATTATTAACATCAATTTCAGTTTCAAATGAAATAACTAACTTTTCTCTAACCACACAAAGCTAAATTTGTTTTTGATTTTCAAATCAATTTCTTTTATTCTGAAAACATTCAATTTTGTCAGTTCCTTCATGATGAATGCTTTCATGAGGGCTCGTGCACATAAAATGGTGCTAATCAAGCTAAAATAGGCCCCACAAACACACTAACATTGCAGTCCAGCAGTTCCGAGATGACGGGAGCACGATGAAAATCGAGTATCGCATACACCAGAGGATAGCACGAGCCAATCGCTAGGCATTGTATTGTCGATAATTGGAGGATAATTTGCGCAAACCACGCGACTCACGGAAAGCATGAACTGGGAGGGAAAAAGCGGAGAAAACTGAAAATCTTGGATTTCCGGGGATCCGCGGAAGAATATGATCACTGCTGAAAAAGTAGAAGACAGCGTCTACCTGCCTAAGACTAAAGACAACCATTTTTTTCTTCAACAATGGGTGGCCATCTTGAACAATTTCGACTGTAAGATAAGTCGAACCCCACGGGAATTTCTTCTCAGCTTTAGTGTAGCCCCATGGCTAGTTGTCTTACCTGACACATGGAGGCCAGTGAGTGACGTTCTGGCACACACAGCAAGTCAACGAGCTCCATGGCTCCGGCACTGGCTTTGCTCACCACAGGGCTGAGGCGGCAGCTGTGAATATAATCATATGGTAGGATTGTGACTCTGCAACTCTGTGTTAGTTTTAGTTAGAGTCTTACCGAACTTGCAACAAATCAGGTCATGTAAGAGCCGAAGATTAGAGGTGTTACAAGAGAGTAACAAACACAAAAAAGAAAGAGGAGACATTTAATAAGGATGTTAGATAAAAATAGAAAAGAAGGAGCAAATCACACCAGAGCACCTGCCAAAGGACCCACTATCTGTAACTCTATGAGGTCCCAAACAACATTTTGTAAATGATAACACAAAAGTCATATGATTGGGTAGATGTTAATAGCCTTATCAACACGATTTGGGTCTACTGAGTAACGTGGGTGTCTTACAAAGCTTCACCATGAATACCAAACTAATTAATATAACACTTAAAGTTAAAGTTAAAGGGTAATCAGATTTAAATTACATGAAAAAAGTACTGATGCCTATAACTGTCCTAAGCAACACAATGACACCAATTATTTTGCGAAAATGACATTCTCAAAAAGATATAAAACAACACACATGTCAGATTTCACAAACAGAAAAGTGACTTTGATAACTAATTTTTAATTTAATTTTAAAAAGTAATTGAGAAATAAGAGCAGAAAAAAGCAATAGTCAGGAACTTTTTTCCACCAGGCAGTTTTTAATCTGTTGGAGGCGCGCATTTGTGGAAACTATTTGAGGCACTTGAGAGAAGTCAAGGTATGGTATCGAGAGATGCTTTTTAATTTTTAAGAATTACTTACTAGGGTCATAAAACTACGAATAATAGATGTGATCCAATAATACACCTGAACTTACCTGTTCTGAGCTGGGACTATCACTTTTTCTACTCCAAGGAAGTAAGCTGACCTCAAAATGGCACCAAAGTTCATTGGGTCCTGGTAGCAAAAAGGACAAAAGGCTTTAAATAGTAAATACTACACATGTTGTTATTTTTTTATGTTGGTGATTCTACATCTCCATCAACATAATTTAATAATTTAAACCATTTGGGAGGTGGGTTGCCAACCCAGGCTGAGAGAAATACACCCTAGCAGAAAGACAGAGATATTCGATAAAAATTATTTCCTCACTCGGGAATCACACTCCAGTCTCCAGCCTGTGACAGCGAAGAGCATAATCCCCACACGACAGACGCCAGTATAAATTATACATGTGAGTGGATTTTGCCAGGCATACAAACATCACATTGACTGAGATACAACATGAAAACATATACAACATGAGAAACCAGATAATTAGGCTCGTTCAATGAATATCTACACAACAGTAGAGTAGTTGACAAAACATCTGCAGCTTTTGTTTTAGTTTTAGTAAATGTTTTACGGCACTTGCAACAAAATAAGGTCATATAAGAGCTGAAGATTAAAAGTGTCACAAGAGAGAAACAAACAAAAAAGAAAGAGGATGTGTAAAAATGATACATGTCTTTTTTTTTTTTTTGCAAGTGTTTTACGACGCTCGCAACTGCATAAGGTCATATGAATATGAGCACGCGGGACACACCAAACATTTTCAGTAGGTAGGAAATTTTGAATTTTAGCCCAGGCGACGGCCGAAGCCTACTCTTATCGATTTTGGACCACCAAGAGATCTTTAACATACGCAACTTGCACACAGGACTTCCGAGATTTTTCGCCCTTGTCTGAGAAGGTTAGGTGTTGATCTTTCCTACCATAAGATCAGGTGTGTGGCTGAAAGACAGCAGTAAGAAGGAGCCAAGAAGTAGAAGTAGAAAGGCAGAGAAAGAGTCAGGAGCCCAGAGCAGGGGGCAAAGGAGGTGGGGGGGGGGCAGAAAAAGGAGATGAAAAAAGACGACAGAACATTAGAGCTGGAAAGAATGTGAAAGAAGAAAATTTCCGTCGCTATCTGGATTCGAACCCGGGACCTATGTAATGAGAGGCAAAGACCTTACCCTCATGGCAACGAGAGCCCCCTAATATGTCCGATAGGAAAGAAGGAGCATACCACACCACAGCACCCACCAACCACTCATTCATCTGCTGTAGCAAGTACAAAATAAATTGCTTGTACTTGTCATAAGATCCCTTTTCATCATGTGACTATTCCTAGCTCTTATTATAGACTTTTTAAACAGCTGCAGGAGGAAGAGGGGGGGGGGGGGGGGGGGGCATGGAAAAAACAAAGAAAAAAAAACAGAAGAAGCATCAAAGAAGAGAATTTTAAAAACAAATAAGACAAAATGCTTTTTTCCTGGTTTGTTTAAAACAATCACTATTACTTCTATACTACTGAGGAGTTCTTAAAGACCTGCTTAAAGACTGATCGTGTGCACTGCTAATGATTAAATAACTACCGGTATTTCTATGCGCTTCCTTGTCTTCTCTAGTTATCTTCTCAGAAAAGTACCATTTGTTTTTTGGGGGTTTTTTTTAGTAGAGGGTTTTTTGGGTTGTTTTTTTTAAGTAGTAGAGGGTTTTATGGCGCTCGCAACTGCATAGGGTCATATGAGCGCCAAGGGGTGGGTGTCAACAGAGAAGTCCTTACAGGGAATCAGACTTACTCTGCTCACCTCTCTAGCTTTAACAGCACAAAGTCTGATTCGACCATCAAGGCACCCCGGAAATAGCAGGTCACAGGAGTGACAAACATACAAAAGAAGTAGAGGAAATGACAATAGTAAGGATTAGGAAAGAAAAAGCAGCAGTTCCCTGTTGCAGATCAGGCACACTTATGAGCATGACATGATGAATCAGCCCATTTACAATTCTACTGTGCTTGAGCAAGAAATGTCCCCCCCTTTGGGAATGGCCTAAAGACACTACAGTCAGTGGCACTGCCCCGGGGAGTCTCAGAATTCGATTGATACGTGTGATAAAGGGAGCAATTCTATCTAGTTCTGTAAATCCCCAAGGCTTAGCATACCTGTATATTGTACAGCATTAACCACAGAGGAACCTTAAGGCCATCAGAACCTGTCCTAGATTGGATGCAAAAATACACAAAATAATCCTTGAAAATTTTAAAATCAAAATATGAAATAATGAAAACTGATTTCTAACAGCTAAAAACTGCATGGTATACAGGGTATTGATAATCCTTGCTATTACTTTTTTCTGAGTGCTGTTTGCTTTATGTTATAAAAATAAGTTTAAAAAGATAACATGATTAAAAAAATGATATTATTGACTTTCATTTCAAATTTGTATCATATTGTGGTGGAATCAGGTGCTTGTCAGTTTTGGGGCATATAAAGTTATTAGCATCATCCTTAAAGCTTGTTCATTTATCATGCTTTTGATTTTAAAAATACCCATCTCTATTTTGAATAGAAGTAGAAGTCGAGATATTTGCAATTGAACAAGGTAGGGTTGCTTGATTTCTGAGGTAAAATTAGCAAGGAAATGGCCTCCACAGTTTGGTGACCTCAAAAGCTTTAGAGTTCTTGGAAACTACACATTTACATTTTTGGTGCCTTTAATCAACATTTTCCAGTAAAATCCACACAAAAATGTGTTTTTAAAAGGACATAAAAAATGTTGAACCAAAAAAAGAAAATTTGATAAAAAATTTCTGGAGGCCAGAAAAATGCTGCTTACTTTGATTGCATTATTTTGACGAGAGCCTGATTTCACAGTGATGCCTCACATTTATATGGGTCGAGAGGGTATGGAAGTTTGATTTCATATTCATTAGTTTGAGCTCACAAAAATACATTACAGTCTTTCGTCTTTTTAGACAAGTTTTTTTCCACAAATAAAACAAAAGAACTCTACACTGATCAATATTAATTACTTCAGAATAACCTACTCACTTTCTGCCTAATCTCATCATTAGCAATAAAACTGTCATATGAATCATAGATAGATAGCTACAATACAATACAGGACAAAAGTCCAGCACAGATGCTGATAGTTTGGATCTCACAAGAAAAGATCAACAAACCGTGGAAAATGTTCTTGTCCATTCCACCTGGCTATTTTCAAAGGCTCAGCATCCAGGCAAACACCCTGTTAAACAAATGTTATGTTGAATTAGTTTTAAGCTATTTTTGTCTATACTAGTATGATACTTAGTGTGTATTCATTACGTGATGATGAAACCTGTAATTTAATATACGTATGCAACGTACATGTACTTCGCTAGCCGCGTGATTCAACCGCCTAAGTGTCAAAAGACAAATTTTACAGGAGAAGCAAAAAACTGTTTAATTTCTTTTTGCTCATACTTATGAATCTGAAATTCAGATATGTAATATAATATGATGTAGTACAATGGTCTGTTCCTAACTTTTTTTTTAAAAGCTTTCTTACATAAGTTACTGGACATGTGTACCCTCAGAAGGATCGAAAAAGGTTTCCTGAGAACAGAATGGACTCAAGCTATCGAAGCAACGTCTATACGATCGCTCACATGGATTTTCTGTCTGGCCATGCAGGTGTTAGGGGAAATGAAAGAGCCGACAGACTGCCTGGTGAGGCCATCTCAGTTGACAATACAGTTCAACCAGATAGGGTTGAGATCCTGAAATGTCTCTCTCGCCAGCTGATTGAGGAGGAAGACACAGAGGCAGAGGCCAGTACTGCCGTGGAGAGGATGATGCTTTTGGGAATACAAAAAAGAAACGGAAAATCTGGCATCCTTGCAGGAAAGAACAGAAGAACATTCAACCAGATGTGCACTGGCACAATCAATAGAAAGATCCTCGGCGACATTTTGGAGAGAGCAACAGAGCATCAATGGACATGTCCGGAGTGCAGGGAGGTTGCTTCCTGAAACAATGAACAATGAACTGGACATACCATCTGCGTGATTCAACCGTCTAAGTGACAGTATGACGGTGTCTAGATGTTTGAATAACGTTAATCAACTTTACTCGACGAGCGCCAATGGTCGCTTGGGCGTTTGAGTAATCGACAAAAGTAAAAAAATAATAGTTTTAAGAGTAATTGTAAAGTTAAGAGTAATTATTTCAGTTATTTAGTTGGGTCTTCTGGGGCAGGACTGTTTTTGGTCTCTTGAAGTAGGTATAAAAGACCATTCATCTTAACATTCAATTTGTACTGGCTGTTTTTGTTCAGTGTGCATCAAAAGCAACGAACGTTTGTGACAACGGGGTCGTCTTTGTTTGAGCCAGGTCTGAATTGTCCAGAAATCGAACATCAAAGGTTGAAGGGGGCGGGCGGGGGGGGAGGGGTTAGGATATTGTCCAGCTTTCAAGATTATCCATGAGCACATAGACCATACCATTTTTCAGGGACCTTTCGATCACACTATGTGTGCTGTCCACTTCCATTTGCGTTTTTTCCTTTTCAAGGTATTTTTGTTTAACAATTTTGTTCTATGTCACTGGTTGCATTTGACAAGATAGCGTAGTGGTATGATAAGAACAGCCATTACTGTATATAATGAATGTGGCATTGTCAGTAGGCTCCTCCAGGGTGTTACTGGCTTACTTTACTTTACTTTTCCGATCCAGTGGCCATTTGGGTTCTAGCCCTTCGGTCTGTCGATATATGGCAAAGAATTTACAGGTTTGAATCAGCTGTGCTTTGTCGCTGTATAGAGTATTTCCAATGTCTGGGGAGGCTGGTAGGTAGGTGCAACACAGGTCGCAAAGTGCTGGGCAGTTAAAGAGGTGGTGTGGTACTGTTTCATCCTGGCAGTCGCACAACGGGCAGTCGGGTGGGGTATCCTTGCGGATCCTTTTAAGATAGGAATTTAGTGGTATTGTTGTGTTCGCAGACGAAATATCGTGACTTGTTCTCTTCTAGTCAGGGAATTTATTGCATCTTTAGAGTTGGGGGCTGTCATGTGTGCAAATACAATTCTTCCAGTTTTGCCCATTGCCCAGCCATTCAGCCACTGTTCCCTGGTGTTGCATTTGATGATGTTCTTGGCTGTCTGTTGTCATACTGGGTTGTGAGGTTGTGTTTGTGATGCTCCCTTCTTGGCAAGGGTGTCTGCTCTGTCATTTCCTGGGATGTTGCTGTGGCCAGGTATCTGACTGTAGTGTCAGGTTGACGGCATAGGTCTGTATGAAGGTGTTGATTGTTTGAGCCATGGATAGGCAGGCTGGGCTTTCGAAATTCATGTTTTCCAAAGCTTGGAGTACTGACTTTTCATCTGTGAAGACAATAGTGTTCTTGATTTTGTTTGGATGTATTATGAAAATGTTGGTCAGGACTGCTGCTTCGATGGCGATGACCTCAGCTTCATAATTTGTACAAGAAGTACCACATGCATCAAATAGCTCTTCACATGTTTTGTCAGGATGTTCAATTCTTACCCCAAAGCCTGCGTTTATAGTTCCCTTAAAGGCTGACCCGTCTGTGTAAATATGAATTGAATCACTAGGGTAAGAGTCAATTGTCTTCAGAGCTATTGTCTTCAGTTCTACTGGGTCACATTCCTTTTTCACTGTCTCTTTTATGAGGGAAGTTTTGATGTTGGCATTCTAGATGTTGGTGTTTGGGGGGGGGAGTTCTGGTCTTAAGGGTTTCATCATTTTTTTGTTACATGGAAGATGGTGTTTTTCTGCTAGTTCAGTGGCTGTGTCAAGTATTGATCTTCCATGAATCCGTTTCTTTGGTCGTCTCTGTTCAATTATTTTCCTGTTTGGGTGGTTTTTCTCTAGTCTTTTGTAGCGCTCACTCATCTCCACAACTGCTGCCTCTCTCCGCAAGTCCAAGGGTTCCAGGTTTGTATGGATTTCACAAGCTGCAGTTGGAGTGGATCTCAAAGCTCCGGAGATAAATCGTGCAGCTTGATTTTGGATTTTGTCAAGAGACCTCTGAGTTGGTTTGCTGCAGATTGTCTGTAAGGTTAGGTTATATTCCATGGCAGAGCGTACATAGCCAACATATAGCTGTCTGAGTGCATCCTTGTCCGCTCCCCATGAGGTGCTAGCCAGTCATCTGAGAAGGTTAAGTCTGTTGTTGGCCTTGGTCTTCAGGTTCCAGATATGGTTTTTGCATGAAAACTGTCTGTCCAGCTCGATCCCAAGGTAGGTCGGGTTTTCAACTTTTTCTAGTTTGTTTCTTGCAAGTGAGATGGTGAGATTTTGCTTTGCAACTTTGTGGATTTTTGTAAAGACGGTGTAGATTGTCTTGGTACAATTTGCTTTTAGCTTCCACTTGCAGCAGTAGTTGTTGAATCTATCTAGATTCTAGATCCTCATTTATAAGCCGTGCACTGATGCCAGCTTGTTTACTTGTATGCCAGATGGCTAGGTCGTCGGCATATAGGGCCTTCTCCGATTTCAGTAACTGACACAAGAAGAGATTTCATTGGCAATCAACAGTCCTTCTCCTTCGTGCCAAATGTGACACTTCACATCTTTGGTTACCAAAATTTTTTAAAATATAGACAGCTAATTTGATCCTGTTATGATATAATCTGGTCCCATCCTCTGGGTTTTTGGCAAGCTTCGTGAAATATTCTTTCTCCTACCTTGCATACATCACATTGATCCTTCCGACATACATACAAAAGGTTGCTCTTTATGAATATCTCTCTAAAGACTCTTTCCGTTTTCTTTGGTACTCTATATAAAGGCCCCCGAGGCTTTGAAAGAAAGTGTTAGTCAAGATAGATTTTGCCTGTATTCTGTCTGTAGTAATGGGAATGCAATTTCGTCAAGTTTATCGAAGAATTACTTATCACAAAACTGCTTGTCCCTTTCTGCTCTCTCGTAATTTGACAGTCTTGGAGCTCCCATCTCCAAGTCATGTAAACTGTCTTTGCAACAGTCATGAATAACCACTGAGTGAGGGCAGTTGTATACAAACGCATTGTTATTGCATATAGGTAGAAAGTATGAGATTTATTTGAAACTGAAGAGTAGAGCTGGAGAGTTGAAGTTGAAGCTTTGTTAAAAAGAGAATTTACGTGGCATATATATTTATGAGTTACTTTTTTTTTTCAAGTGACAAATTAAGTATCATCTACCCGGAACAGATTAATTAATCAATGATTCAATAAGCGCCCCTTAGCTGTCAATCATTGGCTTTTAAAATAATTCATTCGTCTGTAGCTTTTGCCACTGTTTACAGACTTGGTCTAGTCAGTATTAAAATATTCTTTTATGCTATCTTGCTATTTCTCAACTACACTACAAAACCTAGTGATAAATTACGCAAACTGCCTTCACAAAATCTTTTGACTATCGATAGGGTTCCATCTGAGTCGAAGACAACAAAGGCAGCACTTTGTTTTGATGTTAACTTCCAGTCTTTTTTTTACAAGCGCTACAGTCATGTGGGTCACACCGCCTACGCGACAGGTGAACCTCAACAAACCGCTGAATCTTCCTGATTCAACCACCCATTCGCCACCATGCAGTAAAACCGGCACTTGGGTGGTTGAATCACGTGGAAATTGGGACTGGTGTGATATAGGCGATTGATTTACTGAAGCATTGAAACACTTTGCAGTATTCTTCGAAACTCAGGATTTTAACATAAGGTGTATTAAAGGCTATACTGCGTGATTTTTGAAAATTTTGTCACTTAGGCGGTTGAATCACGCGGCTAGCAACAGGCAATTGCAACCCAAATGTCCCTTCAGGGTAATTTCAAAGTAAAGCTGATATTTTGTCTATTTTACATCACTTTTATGCAATGATAGAAGCCATCATGTTTAAGTAAAGATCTGTGATTAATTCAGCCTAGGAGTCTAACATCCTAATGTGGTCACGAATGTGTCAGCCTATCTTGTGGCATAAAATTAAAACAACAAACTAAGGCAAACTAAGAAAAAAACGAGATAATTTTCTTCTATCCATTGACTGTTTCTCACAGGACTTGACAGCGACAAGCAGTGACAACAATAAAAAATTACGGCCAAAAATTTAATACACCCAAGTTCGCAATCTTTCTCATGTTTCAGTATTTGGCTGGACTTACTTGGTGAGGTCTGTTCCCAGACATGCGGTCAAGCGTCTCTCTAGGGACAGCCACAGTGTTCACCTGGAGCCTCTCTGCCAGTCCTTTTATGGCACCAAGTGAGTCTGAAAAAAAGCAATATTTCCTTTGAAACACCTAAAGAGGCAAGCAAAGTAAAGAATAAGTAAAGTAGGTAAAGTAAGTAAGTAGGTGCATGGGTTTAACTCCCAACCAACACTATATGGTCATTCAAGAGGCAGTACCTCCGAATTTAACGACCGTCTCCGATAGGGCCAAGCCAAATGGGTTGAGAGCCTCAACACAATAATCCAAGACACTTTTTAGTTTTAGTAGAGTTTTTCGGCGCTTGCAACTGCATAAGGTCATATGAGCGCCAAGGGGTTGATGTCAACAGAGAAGTCCATACAGGGAATCAACCTTACTCTGCTCACTTTTCTAGCTTCAACAGTACAAAGTCTGCTTCGACTACAAAGGCACCCTGGAAATAGCGGGTCACAAGAAAGTGACAAACATACAAAAGAAGTAGAGGAAAAATGACGATAGTAAGGATTAAGAAAGAAAAAGTAGCAGTCCCCTGTTGCAGTTCAGGCACAGTTATGGGCATGACATAGAGGAATCAGCCCATTTACAATCTACGGTGCATAAGAACACGTTAATGTCCCTCCTTTGGAATGGCCTAAAGACACTTCAGTCAGTGGCACTGCCCCGGGGGGTATGACCCAAGACAATAACAAGAAGCTGCCAGGCAAAAGGAAAAGAAGAGGACCACAAAAGAACACTTGTTTCCAAGACATGAACGCACAGGCAAGGAGGGCAACACATTCTTGGAGAGTACTGGAGAGACTAGCCCAGGGTTAAGATGAATGGAGACAGCTTACAGGCTGCCTATGCCCCACAAGGGGCCAAAGATAGAAGTAAGGGGGAAAAAAACCCAGCTTTATTGATAGGCAAACTTGAACGGGGTTATTCTTGAAGTCGATCCACCTTGTCAGATCACTGAGCTACAAACATGTTACAGCCTTGTAATCACCTTTTTGTTTGGTCACGTCCACGTACAGTTGAAAAAAACGCTTCCTCCTTCCCGCTTGTAGAGCTAAATGTATTGGATGAAGACCAAAGAGTACCTCCCCTTGAACCTTGAACTCTTCTTTGTCATTGTGAGCGCCTCTGCAACAGTAAAACCAACCGTTAGTTCACAAAAGACATTAAATATATATATAACACGTCATATTATCATCCACTTCTCCATCCTTCTCCAAAAAAAAAACCAACAACAAAAACAACAAAAACCTTAAAAAAACACAGAATCTGTTGTTGACATACCAGCTGTCACATCTGCTGATCTTCAATAATAATACATCATACCTCCTTTTTTTTTTAAATTCTTAAAACAACTTCAGACATCTTCAGACAAAAGTACATTGCACCCACTTCTTTGTTTTGCCTTTTCCAGGTAGTCCATAATTATAGCTTGGCAGCAAAGAAAGAGTGCGGGCAAAAGGCAAACTCCAATGGGTGGCCCAAGAAGGCAGAGTCTGGAGGATGGCACAGCGTTGGCAGATCATCTTACAGTACAGGGTCCCTCATGAACATGTTAAGGGTAAAGGTCAGTGATCTGTGAAAGTACCAAAATGGGAAATCATCAAAAAATTAGAAACTCACTTTATATTTTTCTGTGACTAACCATGACTTTCCTGGACATTTGAATAGAAGACATAAAAGGTCTTGAACATCTTGCGCTCACTGATAATATAAGTAGACAAAAGAGAAATGGTAGACCAAGAAAACTAAGTAAAGAGAATTTGAACAGATAATTGACAGGGGATCAAAGACCAAGACAGGTTTTTTACAGATTTTTCGGTAAGTGTTTTACGGCACTCGCAACTGCACGAGGTCATATGAGAACAAGTGACACATTTTTTAGAGCACCTGAGGAGAGAGATGCGTGGCGAACTATGATCACAATTCTGATTTAATAATACAGTCGAACCTGTGTAAGATGGCCACCCATTGTCAAGGAGAAAAGTGGCCGTATAACATAGGTGGCCGTCTTAGGCAGGACTGATCAAGATGAAGAAAACAAACCATTCCTTTCTAAGGTCCCAACCGAAAGTAGCCGCATTGTTGCTGTTTTTGTTGTTGTAGTTGGTTAGTATTTTGTTTGTAATTCTTATGTTGTTGCTGATTTTGCACAAGGGTGACAATAAAACGAAATGTATCAGACGAGGAAATTCGAGTGCCATGTTAAAACTAAAACAAACACATGAGTCGCCACCACTCGGCTTATGAGTTATGAGGGATCACACGCTTACCTCAACAGCAGCTGAAAATTGGTAGCTATTGGTCAACAGTGGGAGGGGCCTACCGAACATGATCGGTTGGAGGGACAACTTAACAATAACGACAGGTGATTGAATTATGACTGCTCGCCCACAACGCCAGGGGCCAATGCACAATTTATGACAAAACGTAATGGAGTCACTAAGGTGGCCATCCAAGACAGGTGTTATAGTTTTAGTGTGATAAATTATGGTGGCCGTGGCGGACAGGTGCCCGTTTTACACAGTTAAATTATATAGAAAAAACACAAGGGGGAAATGGAAAGTGGCCGTTTGTACAGGTGGCCGTCTTATAGAGGTGGCCCTCTGGGCAGGCTTGACTGTAATTTAAAGCATCAGGTAAGAAACCCAAATTATAGCCTAATGATAGTCCGTTGTAATACAAAAAGATATAGAGTATAGAGGATTACTCGCTTTAGAAAACAGAGAAAATAAATTAAATTTGAAATATATATATTTTTTATGTCTCTACAGGACTATCTAGCCTATATATGGTCAGGAATCACATTTCTCATGAACAAAGCGAAAAGTGTAAGTGTAACTAGCGTTTAGATATTAAAAACACGGCAGTCTTTGCTGCTTATGTGTCAGTATTATTAATCTAGAATTATGTGTATGCACGTTCACTGGCTTGTGTGTTTTGTGTTCGAGGAGATGATACCATTTTGTAAAGCATATGAAACTGTTTTGTACAAGAGGGCGCTAAACTATATTTACGGCACTCTTCGGGAGAAGTGGTCCGGGCTACCTCCGATAGAAATAACAGGTAGCAGCTATGCAGTCAGGCACAAGTTCCTAAAAACCACAACCTGTTATATTGTCAACCCCGCCAAATACCCATCCTTCGCGCACAGCATGCCCACAATTATATTTTCTGTTAAAGAAAGACGAAGGAAGGGGGGTGGGTGGAAAGAGGAAGTTGACAGCATCGCCAAAGAAGCAACAGCGCTTACCCAGATTGACACGCCAATCGATTTCTCGACAGCTAAAGCCGTCATCCACCGATCGACCCGCGCAAAGTGGAAAAGAGAGGCGAAACCCAAACTGCCGTTTGCCCAGCCGCCGTCATTCCAGCTTGAGGCCTCGCTCAGACGACAGGACCGCCGGCTTCTCTCCCAAATGAGAACTGGTGGAAAATCGCCCAAGCTGAGATCATATCTCCACAAAATTGCGCCAGCAGACAACCCAGATCCGTCCTGTCGAGCCTGCAAGGAGGAGGACGAAACTATGGACCATGTGTTCCTGAGGTGTCCCGCCAGCTATCGTGATAGAACCCGTCTGCTGGGACATTTCAGTAACCCACTTTCAGCACTTTTTAAGGACCCCCGGGCGAGTGTTGAGTTCCTGCGTGCTGTCGGCATCGCTGACCGCTTATGAAGCCACAGCGCCAGAAGAGAGAGAGAGAGAGAGAGAAAAAAAAATGTGTGGAGTAAAAAAAGAAAGCTCTTTTTTTTTTCATTTTAGCAGTGTTATGATAATGCTCATTATATTCTATTATCTATTTGTGGTGGCCGAATTTTGCTATTCAAAAGGCTTTTTAATGGCTGCATCGATCGACATGTGGTTTTCGTCAAAAGATTTTTAAAAATATTCTCCAGATCATGACGTCCTTTGTTTTTTCATTTTTGAGACAGTTTTGCTGCAAAAAGCTAAATTTCTTTATTTCTCCGATCGCTTTTGTAAGCCGATGCTTCTGTCTCTGCACTTTTAGAAAATCCAGTGCGGAAGTGATATTTTGCGAGGCGCATTTTGTTTTGAGACCTTCTAATTTTTTGCATCTCTTAAGATTTATTGCTCAATTCCAGTACAGTGTAAATATAGTAGGCCAATGACTTTCAGTTGATGTCAATGCACCGATCATTCCTTTCATTGAAAGGGGGCCCAGCTAGTATATTATGTTAAAGAATAGGTCAAACAAGATGGCTTACTATAAATATCGGCAACAGGCTAATGGCAAAGCTGTACCCGTGGTTTTATGTACCCCACATAATTTAGCAAAATTTCATCATTTTTGGCGGGCTTTCTGGAAATTGCCTTCCCGTTTGTTTACATTTAGAAACAGAAGTGATTGCAAAGGACAAAAGTGGCCATGTAGGCAAAGTGAGCCCTATCACATTATAGCCAAGTCAAATATTTTTCTGCCTTTTTTTATTAAAAAAATTATTTTGGCCGGATTGAACTTTGGTCAACCCTCCGTGTTAAGATCTCATCTAGATCTAGATCTAGAATCTAGAGAGTCTAGGTCTAGATCTCCATGATAATGCCTAATTGGAAGGGCCTATTTGCAACGTCGTGTTGCCATTAGCGCCAGTGCTAAATATAAAATGCCGCGTTGCGATTAACGCCAGTGCTAAATACAGTGGAATCCTGTTATAACGAGAGGGAGGGGACCGGGGCGAAATGTTCGTTATAGCAGAATTCTCGCTATAATGGATCCAGTAATAAATTCAAGGGAAATAGTAAAGTAGGCCTAATCTATGGGTTTAGAGTTCTGTTTATTCATTTTTGTATTTCCCTTGATGATTATTTAGTTCAAAATGATCTCTAGGTCATACTTGATCATCGAATCAGGTTTTCTTCTCTAGCACTAGCAATGTTGACAGCTCGACGTTGGCGACCAGAAAGAAGTGCTCTGACTCTAGGCTAACTCGCCCGCTGTGTTGTCCCCCACCCCACCACACCATATGGTGTGTTGCATCTGCTTGCGCATGTCACACATTCGCTCGATCTATCACAACATTGTGACCTCTCCATCCCGCACCACAGAAGTGAGAGGGACAGTAGGCCTAGATAATTATAATCATTAGAGTTTTAAGTAAATTTTTACTTTCACTCCCGCACACAGAAGCACTGCTTCGGGGGTCAAACTACAACTGTTTGCTGCAGATCGTACATATAAAGCCATAAAAACTGTCACAAATCAATTATTTTCAGGAAAATTTCAAATGTAACGGTAAAATATCAAATTATGGGTTAAAACAGGGGGGCGTGTCCTCATGTAACCCCCCAGATTTTCTTTTACCTAAGGGGACGCTTGGATAACAATAACAAAACGGTGCAACTCGGTATAAGTATTTCCTGTCCGCAGTGTCGTCATACAAAAGATTCTAGATCTAACTAAAAATATTATCTATAAGTTAGGCCTAGAGAACGCATACAATAGATTCTAGATCTACAAGCTGTTTATGTTCACTAGACCTTTAAGTCTAATGTTCACTGCTTCCAAGCGCAGCATAAAATCCTGGTCCCGGAAGGTTTTTTTGTTTTGGTAGTGTCAATTGTGACCGGATCATACCGGAGACATAGCCGGAGACGTACGGAGAAATCGTAATTGTAATTGCCGATATCATCATTGTCATTGGCAACGGCAATACCATTAATGTTACATGAAGCTTCAGCGAACACCAAGCACACCTCTGTGATTGGCCCAAATATAGAAGACGTAATTCCCACATCTATTTTTGTGGTCTTCCGGGGCTTCCCTCGCCAGTCGACTTGGGAAGATTGAAGAATACCAGACCTCTCTCTCTCTCTCTCTGTGTTTATGTATTTTTGTGTGTGATTGTAAGTGTGGTGTGTGTAAAGATAGTATTAGTGGGTGGTTGGTGGGTGCTCTGGTGTGGTCTGCTCCTTCTCTCCTATTCAAAAAATATTTTTTCTTTCTTCTTTTTGTGTTTGCTACTCTCTTGTAACACTAACACCTCTAATCTTCGGCACTTATATGAACTTATTGTGTTGCAAGTGCTAACTCTAACGAAAATAAAAAATAGTTTTAGGTATGAACAGGGCGCTTTGGCGGCAAGCGTAAGTGAATGCGTGGTACCGAAGCTCGATTTACTTTCGCTTTCATTACCACCCAGAAATTTGCCGGTAGCAGTCTGATTAACGCAACATTTGTAACATACAGGTTGTGCATACAAACGCTGTGTCGCCATGAAAATAAATCATTGTCCTTTGCTTTCACTTGCGGAAAAAAAAAAGTTAGGCGTCTTGTCGGGCTCGACATCGTGACCGGTCAGTGAGCCTGTACCTTCGCATCACATTGTGAGTACCAGTGATCGTTGGGGTCACCAAAGTTCATTCAAAGTGTGTGCTGTGCAAAGTATAGGGCTACGGAATGGGGGGATTATCGATTTTTTTTAAAGGTACAGTCGGGGGGAAAGGTCGGGTTGAAGGCAACACCGGATGACAAAAACTGAACTTGGAATGGAAGCAAATTTTAGTATATTTAGAATTTTGATTATTACTAGAGCTTCCTGCTACGGAAAAGCATGCATTGGTGCAAGCCCTGTACGGAATTGGGATCCGTCATACTCAAATGTAGTAAGCCGTGTTTCATTGGATGGGTGATAGTACGTTTGTTTCATTGTCCTTTGTTTTAAGAGAGGTATGACCTCATCAAGTGCATACTTTTTTATTCTCTCTCTCTCTCTCTCTCTCTCTTCCCCTCTCTCTGTTTTCTGAGTCTCTTTCTCTCTCTCTCTCGTGATATATTACATGTTTTGTAAACATCTTATATTTTAGCTTTCTGTTCCAGATTCGTAGGTTTTCAGTGTCACTGCATTTTGTTCTCCCTTAGGAAAGATGACAGGGGGTAGATTGGGATCATTTGTCGGATTACATTCTGCCCACTCACAACCCCAAAAAGCGGAGTGAAAAAGAAAAAAGGTCAAGGTCTTGAAGGGAGCGAAGCAGTTACCGTGCACCTAGCTCAAGCGCCCCCTCCCCCCCCCTCACGAAACAAAATACCCGGTTACCGTGTTCGTAGACAATGAGAGGCACCCGGTTGCCGGTTACCGTGCACGTAGATATTGAGGCTACGCGCCCGGTTACCACGTATGTGTATGTGACATTGAGACTACACGCCCGGTTGCCGATTACCGTAGATATTGAGGCTACGCGCACGGTTACCGTGTATGCAACATTGAGACTACACGGTGAAAAAGGAAAAATTAATGCCAACGTCATGAAGGGAGCAAAGCAGTTACCGTGCACCTAGCTCACCCCCCCCCCACCTCCCCCATGAAACTAAATATCCGGTTACCGTGTTCTTAGATAATGAGAGGCGCCCGGCTGCCGGTTACCGTGTACGTAGATATTGAGGCTACGCGCCCGGTTACCATGTATGTGTATGTGACATTGAGACTAAACGCCCGGTTGCCGATTACCGTAGATATTGAGGCTACGCGCACGGTTACCGTGTATGCAACATGATTGAGACTACACGGTTAAAAAGGAAAAATTAATGCCAACGTCATGAAGGGAGCAAAGCAGTTACCGTGCACCTAGCTCACCCCCCCCCCCCTCCCCCATGAAACTAAATATCCGGTTACCGTGTTCTTAGTCTGTCTTAGATAATGAGAGGCGCCCGGTTGCCGGTTACCGTGTACGTAGATATTGAGGCTACGCGCCCGGTTACCATGTATGTGACATGAGACTTCACGCCCAGTTGCCGGTTACCGTGTACGTAGACCCTGAGGCTACGTGCCCGGTTACCATGTACGTAAACCCTGAGGCTACGTGCCCGGTTACCCTGTATGTAGACCCTGAGGCCTGAGCTGAGGCTACGTGCCCGGTTACCGTGTACGTGTCGTGGACACTCCGAAAATTAAAATGAAAAAAAATAATAATAGACTCACAGACCAAGGAAAGCCACTAGAATTTAGATTCTAGAATCTAGATCTAATCTACATCTAATCAAAATCTACATGTATTGAACTTTAACCAAGCCTAAATTGGAAAAAGGAAAAGTATAGGCTATACCAACCACCGATCATTCACAAATACAACACACACCGCCAGTTTCTTCTAGGAAATACAACTGTATTATTATTTCATATTCTTTTCATTCCTTTCATGAATCTTATTCCATATTTTGCATAACTTCTTTTTAGAAAAGCTAGGCCTAACTTCGTTGCAGCCCAAGATTATTATAGTACAATGTACATTGAAAAAAAATCCCTCCGTTACCGGTATGATCTACATAAATACATGTATTGCTATCAAGGTCTGTTGAATCTTTCCTGTACGTTGAGAAAGTTTTTGCAGATGTAGTTGTTATACACTTAAATGCGTGTCATTTTCTTTTAAGTAGCACAAGGTAAAAGAGGGTTTTTAAAATTTGTTTTGACTTTCTTGATCGTCCCAGATTTTACTAGCCTAGACCGATTGTTGCCACTCTTTTGCAGCTGCGTGTATGAAACGTGTAAAAGTGGAGTCTCTCGCGAGAAGATGCCAACATCATGAGAAAAAGTATGGCCGATATGGGGAACCTATGGGAAGGTATTGTTGCATTTGTAACTGTTTCGTTGTTTCTATGCCACTGTTTAACACATAAAGCTGAGTATTGAAGGATTGGTAATAGCGTTGTATGGCCTTGTCGAACTAACAAGTGTTTCCACAAGCAAAGTCTCCCGAGAGCTATAAAAATATCGTTGTGATGTTCCGACGCAACTTCTTCACAACTGTCACAAAACCAAACTTAAATTAAACTCTGTCCTGCGTCTGTGCTGAGATGCGAATCTTATCAGCAACCGATTAGATTACGTCGGATGTTCTGGGAAGGCCGCCGGGGTCACTCAGTGTGTACTGTTGGTGTACAGCGCACGCGGGGAAATGTGTGTTTTCGCCATGAATACCGTGGGAGTGTGTTAATCAAAGAGGAAAATAATGAAAATAACACTCTTTCAATACTTTTCATAGTGTACAGTATACAGACCCGGTAACGGGGAACAAAGTCACAAAGTATACAGACCCGGTAGGGGAACTCTTTTGTGATTTCAGAAGGCTTCAGCGCCCTCTTGGCTCAGGGTAGACCAAGGTTCTTCAAGATCTCTATGGCTTAGGTCTCTAGAATCTAGATCTAGATTCTAGATCTAGATTTAGACAGACGGACATAAATCATTGATCTATCTAGTTAAGTTTCGAGGCTAGCCTAGATTTAGATCTATATCTAGATATAGATTTAAATGAAGATTGCGGATGTGTTTTCGATGAACTATCGTTTTTCCTCCGTTTTGGAGTTGGAGGAATCACGATTTGAAGAAAAGAACAATGTCAAAATTTCAATCGAGCAGTCACCCTCTCTATTTCCCTGCCTCTCTCTCCACTGTGTATCGCTCGTCTTCTCTTTTTCTTTGTTTGTCTCTGCCTTTCTTTCTCCCCACCTATTTCCCACGCTATCTTTCTCTCTTTCCCTCCAGCCAACTGGGGCATGTCATTTTTGCTAGCACCACACACAGTACACAACCGGGTCTGGGCGCTGAAACTTTTCGAAATCACAAAAGCGTTCCCCTACCGAGTCTGTATACTTCGTGGCTTTGTTCCCGGTTACCGGGTCTGTATACACTTCGTTCTATTTATAAAGTGTTACAAACACACGAATAACCCCCTCTCATAAGCTGATAAGACATTACGAGTAGTTACGCCCATTCGAATAACCTTTCTCGACGCTTTTGTTGTTATGAATGACCTGGGGTTCGAAAGGGAGGGGATAATATAGGTCAATTTCCTAATGTTTTGCACTCAAATTGTTCTTTGTACCTCTGCACAATGGTATTCAAAATTATTAATAAAAATAGGCTTATTTTTTATCAGGTAGATTCTAGATCTAGTCTAGATTTAGTATCATTTCACACAAAATCAAGCTCATTTTAAAGAGTTTGTATAGAAAAATGGAAGTCTTGTTTCCTGACTATCTTTTCGAGCTCCTCATGTCTAAGTGGGTCAATTTGCTCTATAATTTCATTGAACAAACATCTAGAGCTACCAATTTGGCGTGTTTTGAATGAGACGCATTCCTCTGTTACGAACCAACGCAGACAGTTCAAGAAGAAGGCCACAAATACACACAAACTCAAGTAGACTGACGCACACACACTTGAGCTATGTGAATGCGGATCCGACTCGGGATCCGAAATCAAGGTGAGATCGGTGCTCGGCGCACGTGCGCTGAGCCAGGGGCAAGACTGACGCGGGACCAAATGCAGGCGAGGTGCCAAAATTGGCTTATCGGACGACATAAATCCGGCCCCCGGAGGGCGAGGATTAATACTCGCTCTACTGAAGTCTACTCACTCTTGACTCTAATATCTAGATCTACATCTAGATTATCTAGATAGATTAGATCTAAACTAGACTAGAAGTTTTGGCCTCTTTGAACATTAGCAGACCACCACTAGATCTAGATCTAAATCTCCTCCGGTAGAGGGGGGGGGTGTAGATAGGTGGGTGCAGGGGGGTACCTCCCTGCTGAAGTCACAAAAATAATTAGATCTATGTATAGATCTAGATCTACCTAGGCCTAGTTTGCCACAGTTTTTAGTGCCAAAAAAAAAAGTATTCCTGGTAATCTTCAATTTTACTACTGGAAGTTTTTAAGTATGAATGACATCAAGCCTAGATCTAGATCTAGGTAGATCAAGAATTAGACTGCTTTGTTCTTCCTGGCCTTGGGATTGGAGACATACTTTAACCCTGGTCCTGCGGGGGCTGGGTTTATGTCGCCCGATAAGCTTATTTCGGCACCTTGCCTTCATTCTGTTCCCGCATCAGTCTGGCCCCTCCCTGGTCATTCATAACAAGAGCGTCTTTCTAAACAAGTTATTCGAATAGGTGTAACTACTCGTAATGTCTTATCAGCTTATGAGAGGGGGTTATTCATGTGTTCGTAGAAAGTTATAAAAGATAAAGCGTTATTCTCATCACGGATTAACACACTCCCACGGTATTCATGGCAAAAACTCATGTTTCCAGGCGCCCTCGCTGTACACCAACAGTACACACTGAGTGACCCCGGCGCATGGAGCTAACGAGAGCACACTACACCAGCTTGTGATTAGCTGTATATAGTGACGTGTACGCATACGAAATTTGGTAATATACCTTAGGCCTAGTGGAATGTAGTCGGAAATACAGATTTTATTGATCCATTGAATGAGCAACAATGCACGTTATGTAGATCCACAAAATGCGTTATTTCGTCATACGTATGGCGTTAACTTCCACTTAGTGCAATGTCAACAATATGGATATGGATGCTCATGTGATGCTAACACCTTATATATCAAAGCAGAAAAATGAAGATCCGTTGCGCATTCTACGGATCCACAAAAAAGCGCTACAAAATCCACCAATCTAATACAGAATGAGCAACAATCGATTGGTTGTTTCGCGATCCACGGATTGCGCAAATCGACAGAACACGCCTAACATTATAATATTTTGATATATATATATAAAAATCTTAAATCTCTTATAAGTTTTGTTTATTTACAGGACAGTGAATGATTAATTACAGGAGAAATTAAAAATGGTCCACCCTATTCAGTAAAATAGTTAAACATATGGGGAGGAATTCCGAAAAGAGCGACCACTATGAAATAGAAAGAGGGTTAGGATTAAGGCTAGGTTTAGGTCTAGGTCCCTTCTTTAATAGGCTAGTCTTAATGTGTTTGTACATTGTAACATTGTTTGGGGTGGTCGCTCGTTATGGAAGTCCTTCCAACTACTAAGGACGATGTTGAGAAATATGCAAGAGGCATCTTTTGATTTTTGATAGATATCATACCATATTATATATATGGTAATGTTTGTCGGTGACAATGCAGAGATAGATTGGTTTTATTGATTATAATGCGGAGATAGGCTGAGACTTTTTACTTATTATAATACTCCAATCTTTTGTATATCTAAAAAGTGCTTACTCTTTGTGTTACAATCATCTTTCAGGTATTCTATCCTAGAACTTTCATTTTGCCTATTATGTAATAGAACGTCATTTTTTCTCAAAACTTCAATTTTTTATGTTTATTCTCATCCCCTTTTATTATTTTCTTTTTGATTCTCATCTCCTTTTAATATTTTCTTTTTGATTCCAATGAAATTTTCAGGGCTGGTTATTCATACAATAACCTAACTTTATACAGGTAGAAAATAAAATCCTTGCTTTCATAAGTGAGTTACATGGATGATTATGTAATCAAATTCGGAGACACGAAGTGGTAGGTCAGTTATCCATCTCTAACCTTTCTCCTATTCAAGATATCCAAAATCTCAAATGTATTAAATTTTGTATTGAGTATAGTATCTATCAATGTACCAAATTTGGTTGGTAAATAAGATATCCTTTTTACTTTTATTATGAAAGCTGTTTGTTTTCAATATGGCGGCCGTTAACATGGCTACAGTAGACTTAAAACAAAAAAATTAAAGTTACATTTTACATATATTTTTCTGTTATACCTCCTTGCTATATGGTTTTATATATCTAAAAAGGCCACCGTTACCGAGATAGGTTTATAATCCAACCCAAGATGATCTTTGTTGAGTATTTCCACTTTCAAGATGCCTACAGATCAAATATTTATTGAATTCATCCACAGACTTACGACGCCAGGCGCGGCAGCTGGAAAATGAAATTGACCTCAAGCTTGTGTCTTTCAGCAAACTGGGAACCAATTACTCATCACAAAGAGACTATGACAGGTAAGTTGTTGCAGATGAATACTTAAATACTTTTATTCTAGTATTTTTTCTTGTTGGGAGGGGGGGGGGGGGGGGGGGGTTAGCTTGAATGCTGAAAGATGTAACGTATGATGTTATGTCAAGTCTAGCAGCAAATTGAATGTAGGACGGGGTGGCTTTTAATGCTATAATTCAGTCCTTACAGATCAAATATCAGAGGCTTTATGAATGCTGTTTTGAATTATATATGTTGGTAAGAGGATGGTTATTCAGTCCAACCCTTAAAGTCAAGAGAGATGGACTTTTCCAACAGGGTGGGAGTGTAGAAGATAATCCACCATATGACCTAAAATCGTGAGTGGTTGGTCGGTCTTCTTATGTAGTTTGCTCCCTTCTTTGTTATAAAACATCGGTTTTCCTATCTCTCCCTCCTCCTTTTGTGTGTTTGTTACTCTCCTGTATCACCTCTAATCTTTGGCACTTATGTATTTGCCCTTATTCTGTTGCAAGTATTGTTAAACTCTTACAGAACTAATGAGATGAAAAATTGTCAACTGTATCTGTTGTTGAATGAGGTTATTTTTAAATATATTTTTTTGCTAAGTGTTTTACAGCACTCGCAACTGCAGAAAGTCAAATGAGCGCACGGGACACATTTAACTGTTTCAATTGGTTGGAAATTTTGAATTTTGCCTAGTTGGCAGCCGAAGCCTACTCTTATCGATTTTAGACCACCCAGGGATCTTTAACATGCGCAACTTGCACACTGGCCCTCCGATATTTTTCGCCCGTGTCCGAGAAGGCTATGTGTAGATCTTTCCTACCAGAAGATCAGGGGTGTAGCTGAAAGACAGCAGTAAGAAGGAGCCAAGGAAAAGCAGTAGAAAGGCTGCAGAAAGAGTCAGGAGCCCAGAGGAGGGGGCAGAGGAGGTGAGGGAGGCAGAAATAGGAGACGACAGAACATTGCAAGAGAGCAGGAAAGGAGGTGAAAGGAGATACTTGTAGAGAAGATATTTTGTTTCAGCCGCTCCCTGGATTCGAACCCGGGACTTTTGAATAAGTGGCGAACACCTTAACTTCTAGGCCACGAGAGCCCCCGAATGAGGTTAGTGGAGGCTGTAGCGAAAGCAAAGTCTATAAGAAACGTATGTTGCTGACGCGCTCTTTTTATCAAATTCCTTATGTACAACTCAAACAAGTTTTATTTTGTACAGTTGAAGTTGTCTCTTTATGAAAACAGATAGAAAATCTCTTTGACTATGTTTTCCTCCTCACTGAAGTACTGTATTATAATATGTATTCTTTAATCTTGCATGGGAGTGAAAATTGGCTCTTGAAATTACTGTTTAAGCTCCCGGTTTTGGGGGTTTTATTTTCTTGTTTGTGTTCCTGTGTGTATATATTTGTTAGAAATATATATGCTCCTGCTCCTACACTCCTCTTTTTTACCGTGGGTGTGAATGCATTGAAGTTACTTTACTAATAAAAGAATGCTAGATTACGGTAGTCTTTTTCAGGTTGTGGTTTGAGGTTTGTTTATAAAATAGTTTGCTGCTTTTGGTTGGGTTCCGAATTCTGTAGTTTACAATGTGGATGCTGTTTGTCACTAAATTGGGTTGTTGTACTTGGAAAGCCATGCTTTCTGTTTAGTTGTTCGTATGTCATGATGATCTGCTGTTCCGACAAAAGTTCATTGTGTGCATTTTTGTAACATCAACATGAGAAGAGAAGACAGCCTTCAGCCTGGTCATGAGTGAAAGATCAATTTTTATTCATGGAGAATCTATCTATACCTGATATTTCTGGTTGTGTTTTGGAATCAAATACAAATGTGGAAAGATGAGTCTCAAACCCCGAACAAGACATTTGATAATAAGAAAGCTGTACAAATAGACAAATATGAGAGGATGCTGACATTACGAATCTAAGAGAATTTGCTAAGTCTCGCAGACCATTAAGTCTTGCAGGTGGTTGGAGGATGTCACTGGTAGGTCCAACTTCATTACCATCCGTCTGTTGTGTCTGTCTGTCTGTCTTACATTTTCTCAGCACTAGATGACCATTATTGTGTTGATGTGCTTCTCTTTACTGAAACAAATAAACTATTAAGTCTGTGGTCTGTGACACCCCTCTACGGCTGAAATCATTTCGCTAGAGTACGGTATTTCCCTTGTTGTTGTCACTCTAGTTCTCTTTAGTTTTTATGTTTGCTGAGCTTTCTTACCTGTCTCTCATGTACTGTACGTAGAACCACAATAACTGATAGCCCTCTGCCACCATGTCTCCCTCTGGCAGCCTCCCCCCCACTAACACAGCTAACCCCACGGGGGACAGCAGGTAAGACACTCCTTTTCTTGCATGGGCATGTTGGATCTTTGCTCACTCTGACAAGTGCATTGCGCCC